CGTAATTTGAAACTGAAAATAGGTGTAGAGAGTCAGAATTCGGCTCAAAAATCACGCTCAGGAGTCAAATTTCCGACATTTCAGATATTTTGAAAACTGCAGGGGGGTTTGGGCAAAATATGACCTATCGCCGTTTTCAGTAATTGGCATATTTTCGGTATAAAAAGTCGTAATTTGAAACTGAAAATAGGTGTAAAGAGTCAGAATTCGGCTCAAAAATCACGCTCAGGAGTCAAATTTCCGACATTTCAAATATTTTGAAAACTGCAGGGGGGTTTGGGCAAAATATGACTCATCGCCGTTTTCAGTAATTGGCATATTTTCGGTATAAAAAGTCGTAATTTGAAACTGAAAATAGGTACAGAGAGTCAGAATTCGGCTCAAAAATCACGCTCAGGAGTCAAATTTCCGACATTTCAAATATTTTGAAAACTGCAGGGGGGTTTGGGCAAAATAGGACCCATCGCCGTTTTCAGTAATTGGCATATTTTCGGTATAAAAAGTCGTAATTTGAAACTGAAAATAGGTACAGAGTCAGAATTCGGCTCAAAAATCACGCTCAGGAGTCAAATTTCCGACATTTCAAATATTTTGAAAACTGCAGGGGGGTTTGGGCAAAATAGGACCCATCGCCGTTTTCAGTAATTGACATATTTTCGGTATAAAAAGTCGTAATTTGAAACTGAAAATAGGTGCAGAGAGTCAGAATTCGGCTCAAAAATCACGCTCAGGAGTCAAATTTCCGACATTTCAGATATTTTGAAAACTGCAGGGGGGTTTGGGCAAAATATGACCCATCGCCGTTTTCAGTAATTGGCATATTTTCGGTATAAAAAGTCGTAATTTGAAACTGAAAATAGGTGTAGAGAGTCAGAATTCGGCTCAAAAATCACGCTCAGGAGTCAAATTTCCGACATTTCAGACATTTTGAAAACTGCAGGGGGGTTTGGGCAAAATATGACCCATCGCCGTTTTCAGTAATTGGCATATTTTCGGTATAAAAAGTCGTAATTTGAAACTGAAAATAGGTGCAGAGAGTCAGAATTCGGCTCAAAAATCACGCTCAGAAGTCAAATTTCCGACATTTCAGATATTTTGAAAACTGCAGGGGGGTTTGGGCAAAATATGACCTATCGCCGTTTTCAGTAATTGGCATATTTTCGGTATAAAAAGTCGTAATTTGAAACTGAAAATAGGTGCAGAGAGTCAGAATTCGGCTCAAAAATCACGCTCAGGAGTCAAATTTCCGACATTTCAGATATTTTGAAAACTGCAGGGGGGTTTGGGCAAAATATGACCTATCGCCGTTTTCAGTAATTGGCATATTTTCGGTATAAAAAGTCGTAATTTGAAACTGAAAATAGGTGTAAAGAGTCAGAATTCGGCTCAAAAATCACGCTCAGGAGTCAAATTTCCGACATTTCAGATATTTTGAAAACTGCAGGGGGGTTTGGGCAAAATATGACCCATCGCCGTTTTCAGTAATTGGCATATTTTCGGTATAAAAAGTCGTAATTTGAAACTGAAAATAGGTGCAGAGAGTCAGAATTCGGCTCAAAAATCACGCTCAGAAGTCAAATTTCCGACATTTCAGATATTTTGAAAACTGCAGGGGGGTTTGGGCAAAATAGGACCTATCGCCGTTTTCAGTAATTGGCATATTTTCGGTATAAAAAGTCGTAATTTGAAACTGAAAATAGGTGTAGAGAGTCAGAATTCGGCTCAAAAATCACGCTCAGGAGTCAAATTTCCGACATTTCAAATATTTTTAAAACTGCAGGGGGGTTTGGGCAAAATAGGACTCATCGCTCTATTCAGTAATTGGCATATTTTCGGTATAAAAAGTCGTAATTTGAAACTGAAAATAGGTACAGAGAGTCAGAATTCGGCTCAAAAATCACGCTCAGGAGTCAAATTTCCGACATTTCAAATATTTTGAAAACTGCAGGGGGGTTTGGGCAAAATAGGACCCATCGCCGTTTTCAGTAATTGGCATATTTTCGGTATAAAAAGTCGTAATTTGAAACTGAAAATAGGTACAGAGAGTCGGAATTCGGCTCAAAAATCACGCTCAGGAGTCAAATTTCCGACATTTCAAATATTTTGAAAACTGCAGGGGGGTTTGGGCAAAATAGGACTCATCGCCGTTTTCAGTAATTGGCATATTTTCGGTATAAAAAGTCGTAATTTGAAACTGAAAATAGGTACAGAGAGTCAGAATTCGGCTCAAAAATCACGCTCAGAAGTCAAATTTCCGACATTTCAGATATTTCGAAAACTGCAGGGGGGTTTGGGCAAAATAGGACCTATCGCCGTTTTCAGTAATTGGCATATTTTCGGTATAAAAAGTCGTAATTTGAAACTGAAAATAGGTGTAGAGAGTCAGAATTCGGCTCAAAAATCACGCTCAGGAGTCAAATTTCCGACATTTCAGATATTTTGAAAACTGCAGGGGGGTTTGGGCAAAATAGGACCTATCGCCGTTTTCAGTAATTGGCATATTTTCGGTATAAAAAGTCGTAATTTGAAACTGAAAATAGGTACAGAGAGTCAGAATACGGCTCAAAAATCACGCTCAGGAGTCAAATTTCCGACATTTCAAATATTTTGAAAACTGCAGGGGGGTTTGGGCAAAATAGGACTCATCGCCGTTTTCAGTAATTGGCATATTTTCGGTATAAAAAGTCGTAATTTGAAACTGAAAATAGGTACAGAGAGTCAGAATTCGGCTCAAAAATCACGCTCAGGAGTCAAATTTCCGACATTTCAATATTTTGAAAACTGCAGGGGGGTTTGGGCAAAATAGGACCTATCGCCGTTTTCAGTAATTGGCATATTTTCGGTATAAAAAGTCGTAATTTGAAACTGAAAATAGGTACAGAGAGTCAGAATTCGGCTCAAAAATCACGCTCAGGAGTCAAATTTCCGACATTTCAAATATTTTGAAAACTGCAGGGGGGTTTGGCCAAAATAGGACCCATCGCCGTTTTCAGTAATTGGCATATTTTCGGTATAAAAAGTCGTAATTTGAAACTGAAAATAGGTACAGAGAGTCAGAATTCGGCTCAAAAATCACGCTCAGGAGTCAAATTTCCGACATTTCAAATATTTTGAAAACTGCAGGGGGGTTTGGGCAAAATAGGACTCATCGCCGTTTTCAGTAATTGGCATATTTTCGGTATAAAAAGTCGTAATTTGAAACTGAAAATAGGTACAGAGAGTCAGAATTCGGCTCAAAAATCACGCTCAGGAGTCAAATTTCCGACATTTCAAATATTTTGAAAACTGCAGGGGGTTTGGGCAAAATAGGACCCATCGCCGTTTTCAGTAATTGGCATATTTTCGGTATAAAAAGTCGTAATTTGAAACTGAAAATAGGTACAGAGAGTCAGAATTCGGCTCAAAAATCACGCTCAGGAGTCAAATTTCCGACATTTCAAATGTTTTGAAAACTGCCGGGGGGTTTGGGCAAAATAGGACTCATCGCCGTTTTCAGTAATTGGCATATTTTCGGTATAAAAAGTCGTAATTTGAAACTGAAAATAGGTACAGAGAGTCAGAATTCGACTCAAAAATCACGCTCAGAAGTAAAATTTCCGACATTTCAGATATTTTGAAAACTGCAGGGGGGTTTGGGCAAAATAGGACCTATCGCCGTTTTCAGTAATTGGCATATTTTCGGTATAAAAAGTCGTAATTTGAAACTGAAAATAGGTGTAAAGAGTCAGAATTCGGCTCAAAAATCACGCTCAGGAGTCAAATTTCCGACATTTCAGATATTTTGAAAACTGCAGGGGGGTTTGGGCAAAATAGGACCTATCGCCGTTTTCAGTAATTGGCATATTTTCGGTATAAAAAGTCGTAATTTGAAACTGAAAATAGGTACAAAGAGTCAGAATTCGGCTCAAAAATCACGCTCAGGAGTCAAATTTCCGACATTTCAAATATTTTGAAAACTGCAGGGGGGTTTGGGCAAAATAGGACCCATCGCCGTTTTCAGTAATTGGCATATTTTCGGTATAAAAAGTCGTAATTTGAAACTGAAAATAGGTACAGAGTCAGAATTCGGCTCAAAAATCACGCTCAGGAGTCAAATTTCCGACATTTCAAATATTTTGAAAACTGCAGGGGGGTTTGGGCAAAATAGGACCCATCGCCGTTTTCAGTAATTGGCATATTTTCGGTATAAAAAGTCGTAATTTGAAACTGAAAATAGGTACAGAGAGTCAGAATTCGGCTCAAAAATCACGCTCAGGAGTCAAATTTCCGACATTTCAAATATTTTGAAAACTGCAGGGGGGTTTGGGCAAAATAGGACCCATCGCCGTTTTCAGTAATTGGCAGTAATTGGTGTGGGTACAGTGATACTATGGTGGTGTGGGGTACAGTGATACTATGTGGTGTGGGTACAGTGATACTGTGTGGTGTGGGGTACAGTGATACTATGTGGTGTGGGGTACAGTGATACTATGTGTGTGTGGGGGTACAGTGATACTATGTGGTGTGGGTACAGTGATACTATGGTGGTGTGGGGTACAGTGATACTATGTGGTGTGGGTACAGTGATACTATGGTGGTGTGGGGTACAGTGATACTATGTGGTGTGGGGTACAGTGATACTATGTGGTGTGGGGTACAGTGATACTGTGTGGTGTGGGGTACAGTGATACTGTGTGGTGTGGGGTACAGTGATACTGTGTGGTGTGGGGTACAGTGATACTGTGTGGTGTGGGGTACAGTGATACTGTGTGGTGTGGGGTACAGAGATACTATGTGGTGGGTACAGTTATACTATGTGGTGTGGGGTACAGTGATACTGTGTGGTGTGGGGTACAGTGATACTGTGTGGTGTGGGGTACAGTGATACTGTGTGGTGTGGGGTACAGTGGACCAGTAATCAAGGCTGTAGTCTGGTGTTATCACTGTATGATATTGAACCATACAGAGACCAAGGTTCAAGCAGTGAGTGTATCCTAATGTAGTGTTGTGTGTGTGAGCAGGTTGGGTCTGAGCCACGATGGAGACAACGTGGCCGTCAACGACTGCGAGGACGAGGGCTTCCAGGGGTCGGTGATGGCGCCCCTCGTCGCCGCCACCTTCAGCAGGTTCCACTGGTCCAAGTGTTCCAAGAGAGAGTACCACGCCAGAGCCCCGTGAGTTCTCGTCCTCCTCTTCATCGGATGATTATAAGCATTTGTGTACGAAACGTTTTAGTAACTATGAAATTGCATGATTAGTCTTGAACATTTAAACATTCACGGGTTGTTGATGTAAGCAGGTTATTAATACTTGGGTTTGCTCCCCAGAGGTTGGAGCTGCCTGATGAACAAGCCACAGTGGAAGAATGCCACGAGGGTGCTCTCCACCATCAAGTACCAGTACTCCCTCCACGACCAGTGCAGGCTGGAGTTTGGTGACGGGTGAGTGTCTTGGACTCCGCATATCTGACCCTCGGTTGTCTAATGTACTGACTCCCCGAGCTGTTTTCCTCTACGTGTGTATTTACCTAGTTATGCTTGCGGGGGTTGAGCTTTGGCTCTTTGTTCCCGCCTCTCAACTGATGTACAGGTTCCTGGACCTACTGGGCTCTTATCATATCTACACTTGAAACTGTGTGTGGAGTCAGCCTCTACCACATCACTTTCTAATCCATTCCATTTGTCTACTATTCTACTACTCTCTCTCGGCGGCATATGCCAAATGATACCGTGTATCTGGTCTCCTGCTCCCTACACCTGTCTTCATTACATTACATTTGTTTGGGTTAAACTCTAACAACCATTTGTTCGACCATTCCTTCAGCTTGTCCAGGTCTTCATGAAGCCTCAAATCTGTCCTCCTCTGTCTTAATCCTTCTCATAATTATATTTTTACTATTATCTTTGATGCTTATACTGTACAAGGAAACCATACCATAGATACTGTACAGTATTTACAACTCCAAGTCAATATATCCTGGTATATATATCTCGGGCGAGAAGATGTGTGTGTCATGGTATAGGCAGGTAGGAAGTTTGTTCCATGGTAAAACCATTTCAAGTAGGGTCTGTGTATCATGGAATAACCATTGCAGGTACGGGCTATGCAGCAGCTTTGGGCTGACGGACCCATGTACCCACCTGTGGTGCAGCAACACCTCCATGCCCCACCACTGCAAGACCAAGAAGGGACCTCCCCTTGAGGGAACCAGCTGCGGAGAGCAGAAAGTAAGCAACACCACATGAGGTCACAAGAGAGATCATATTTGACCAAAGAAAGGTCAGAGAAGTATCACAGATGGTCATATATGACACATGCACTGGTTTACAAGATTTGTTGTTGTTGTTGTTAAGAATGAGAATACAGTAATACAAGCCGAATTGTTCCGGGTCTCGACACCAAAGGCAAGTCATAATGGACAGAGGAACAGCTCGAGAGTACATGAGGGTTATGGAAGGTAATCAGAGTCACACTAAGGTATGTACCACTAGGTAATTAGTCACTGTGGACAAGAACATGACCAAAGGTGAGTTATAATGTTTAGATTGGTTAGTTAGGTCATTACCTTGGACTCACGTGATGAAAAATGTGACAGTGTCAGACCACGAAGGAAGAATTGAAACAGGACTTTCCCTAAGTACTTTCGTATTTAATAATTCAAAATAAAATATGACCCTTCTGAAGATGTATTATTAAATACGAAAGTACTTCAGGAAATTCCTGTTTCAATTCTTCCTTCGTGGTCTGACACTGTCATATACAGTATATATATTAACCAGCTGTTGATATATATATATATATATATATATATATATATATATATATATATATATATATATATATATATATATATATATACACATATATATTTATTGTGCACCCCATACCCATCCCGTGGGTGGTCGTGTAAAGGGTTACAGAGGCACATAATCGTTTCAGGAACTGAACCTTCTAGTTCGTTTAGCGAAGCAAATAACAATCTTTTGACACTACACAATTATTAATGCTATATATACATGTACATATATACATACACATACATATATGGTGATTGCATATGTATATATTAGAGAGAGGGCAATTAGTTTAGCAAGTTGTTGCTTGCAGTTACTTTCTTGTCTGTTTTCAAGAGCAAAGTTGTTGGTGTTGGCAGTGGTGTCGGCATGGGTTCTGTGTGGCGATGAGCCAGGAGACTGAGGACACAGAAGGCGAGTCTCCGGTGAAGCACAACCCACAGGATGGTGGCTGGGGCGCATGGAACCAGTGGGGGCCGTGTTCCAGGACCTGCGGCACTGGGGTAGCCTTCAGGACCAGAGACTGTGACAACCCTCCGTTAGTAGATGTTCTTGTTTGGGAAGTGCATTCAGTAGTATATTTTGTAAACAATGCATGTTCTTGATTAACAAATGTTTCTGAGGGTACATTTTACATTTTTTGTTATAGTTTTTGTTCAAATTATTTACAATAAGAAATATATATCTTTCATTTGTACTGATTTATTTTCTATAGTAATTATTTTATAATGAACATTCCTTTATTTTACTTTTTAAATCTAATCTTTTCCATGTTTTGTTAAACAACTTTATTGTATATAATCAATGAAATCTGTAATCTTTATAATTCACTCTGGAGCTGCTCACAGCATTGTATGATTTTTAACTCTTTCAGACAAAAAATAAAGTAAAAATATATTTGTTTTTAGTACAGAAGTACTGTATTTGATGCAAAATTGTATTTTTCTTTACAATATTGGTAGTCACTAAACATACACAAGTTTTGCTACCTTCCCAATGTTCATACACTGCAGTACAATGCTGTATTAATGTTATTCACCCACTTACAGTCCAGCGTGGGGTGGACGACGGTGCCGAGGCAAGAGGGAGGAGTGGAAGACATGTGGTCTGGAGGCTTGCTCGCTACCTCACCAGGATTTCAGGGCTCAGCAGTGTTCCTACCTCACACGCATCGTCACACTAGACCCACGTAGAGCAGCTCTCTCCTGGCTACCATACGAGGCCAAGAGGCGTGAGTGTGTAGAATTTACTGTTTGTATTCCAACAACTAATCATTTTATAGTGCAGAAAATTCAGTGAAAATAGTTTTTGTTTTTTTGAAAGTTAATTTTTTTATTGAAATGAGCATTATCACCATGATACACCTTCATTGTGGCTACCTTGTGTAGCTTCTGGGGATCAACGGTCTCCGACAGGCCTCCCAGTTTGATATACAAGGCTTACCTGGCTAGGATTCATTATCTTAAGTTAATTTTAGACAAAAGCCTGGAATTATCTTCAGGCAGGTGGCTTAAGATACTTTAGTGAAGGGTGAATGAAGAAACAGACTCGAAAGAGGTTGGAGAATTCTGATGGTCATGAACCTTTGGGTTATTTAAAATCTCAGAACATGAGCATTATTTCAATGGTTTATGCTTTTACAAATTCTTAGAAGAACCTTGTGCAACTTATTAAATTTACATAAATCAAATGTAAGGTAAAATGGAAAAAATTGGGATATACTCAAGATCCCAAGCCATCCTATTTTACATGGGTATTTACATGGCCTGCACATGGCTATACAGTTTTCCAAAGTATTTACCTGAGGGCCACTAACATAATAGTGTTAAATGTCCCTCGGGTAAGTTCGCATAAAATAAACTGTACAAACGTACGTACGTATAGTTCACAAAATAATGTAATGATGATGGACTCAAGTTGGACACATAACCAGGTTGTGAGGTTGACTATGGTTTTGTTTCTAGATTCAATATAACTTTTTGTTTCTTCATAGTTTGTACTTTATTTTATATACTGTATTTATATACTAGATGGAGGTACCAAGCAGTGCCCAGGTCTCTCTCCCTCCCATTCTCTCATTTTCCACTCCCCTCTCCCATTTTCCTCCATCCCTCCCTCCCTCCCTCCCTCCCTCTCTCTCCCTCTCCCCTCTCTTTCCCTCTCCCCTCTCTTTCCCCCCTCTCTCTCTCATCTCTCCCATTCTCTCAGTGAGCAAAACATGCAGAAATAACACACAGAAATGACAATAGCATGATGCATCAAATGAACAAATCCACAAGGGCTGTGATGAGGGTTCAAACCTACGTCCGAGAGGATCCCAGACGCGCCTTAATCGACTGTGCCACGACATGGTTAAAAGAATTGCAACCGAGAGTTCAACTGACCTCACACGGATCCTGCAGTCTCTCCAAGACACAAACCAGGGTTTTACACAATTCCCCTATGCACCCGGGCTCTGTCAATAAGCTATTCTACCTCTTCGCCCTTACTTCGAAGTGTAATGAAGTGACTTGATGATTGAGTGTGAACATTCCACAATTATTTCACTATTTTCTATATTTTACACTTGTTAAACTAAGATGCGAGCATCATTTTAAGTCTTGATTGTTTTTCAGGGAAAAAAAAGTGCCGTATATCTTGCTATAGTCACTCTACTAACGAAGTCTACATGGGCCGAGAGTATGTAGTGGACGGAACACGGTGCTCATATGACCAGCCAAATGATATTTGTGTGCAGGTAAGGAAGTCTTTAGAAGGAATGAATGAGAGGGAAAGGGGAAGCTTAAGAATGAGTAGTTAACAGTGAATGTTTTAGGTATATTTAGCATAGGAATGTTAATGAATTAATGTACAGTAAATGAAAAGAATAACAAATTTGTTTTGGAGTGAGATAATTTGATACAGAAAATATTTTTTGTTTAAAAACTATGATGTTACATTATATATACAGTATATATGTTACATTATGGTGGTAGACTGTTAACCCTTTAACCATCACATTCCACTACAATATATTCACTTCACTTTCAACAATTTATTTACCACACTGATGTAAGTGTTTTACCACATAAAGTTACTTCCTAGATAATTTAAACTTGCATCCTGAGCCGACAGTTGAGCATGGTTGTAAATAAAAGCTGACTGGGAGCATGTTTGTTACTACACAGTAAAAAAGTGGGCTTAGATATGAAAAGTGACTATATTAGGCTCACTTGGTTGCTTCTTAAGGCAAGCTTTCTTAAATGTTCTTTCAAGTTTATCAACACTGGTACTAAGAAACTCTTAAGATCAGCAAGTTAGAGTAAACTGCAGAAAGTTAAAAAAAAAAAAAAAACATACTGAAGCCTTTACAAGCACCTGTTGGCAAACCTGAGATCACCCTACAGTGCTCTGACCATTGGGTTGCTCACTCAACCAGCATTGGGTACTAATTCAGAAAATGATCTACCTCACTGTGCTTCATCACATTATTTCTGATGAAAGAACTTTTGGTACATGAGAGGCTTATTAATAAGAATGGGACTATGGATAACCAAGGGAGTGATCAGGAAGAGGTTTTTCATTTAGAAGAGAGGGCCCTCAAATATAGCAGCTGGAGCAGTGGCATCAGGTGGAGTGGCAGTGAAGAGTTACATATATGCATGAAGTTAAACCCCCAGAAGTCTCTGGCTTCATCTCGGTACAAGTTATTGCCGAGAAAAAAGGCTTTAACAGTTGCAAACTTCTGAAAGTTGTGTGTAAGTGCATAGCCTTGGGACTGATTTGGATTCACCACTTTTTGTATAAGTTGGTATACTCTGGGGACTGTACAAGGACACAGTCCTGGAGTTGACAGAAAATTAGACACAATTTGGAAATTAGCAGTTGGAGGAGCAACAATGGGACACTGATGGGATGTGATGTGGTAAGGAAAAGTGGTATAGTATTTACATAATGTGTGTGTTAGATGACAATAAAATACTGTAGTCGTATGGAAACAAAACTTTGCACACAGAAACAACTATGTTTTGTCTTCATTTGACTTTCCTGTTCTCACTTGCGACTTATTCAAATCTTGGCAAACCACTCATTAAACCACTTGCTTAAACTGAATAACTGAAATGCAATGATGATGACTACTTCATCAACAGATAACAGTTTTAACAGAAGTTAAATTTGCTTATTTTTAAAGTATACTTTATTAACCCCGACACTAGGGCAAATGTGTGGCATTGGGATGCGACAAGGTTGTGGGGTCACGGGCACAAGAGGACGAGTGTGGAGTGTGTGGTGGAGACGGTGCTACTTGTCTTCACCATAAATTTGATTACAACAAGGTTCCTCCAACAGGTTAGTACTGTACTCACCTTTGTACAGGTGCTGTAAAAGTCATGGAAAGATAGGGAGTGAAAAACTAAGTAAATTGTAATACTATACTAGTATTTGGAAGAATGTAATAACCGTGTTAAATGAATGAAAGTTGATAACACTAAAGAGGGTGTTTGAATGAATCCGAGGACAGGAACGACCTAGTTTATATTTTTAATTACTAGTACTGTATATAAATTTTATGTACTGTATATTACATTTTTGTGTGGGGGTATTTTTCTGGTTTTAGGTGTTGGCAGTTTATTGTAATATGAATGTACAATACTGTATACATGAACATTTGTAAGGGTATCTTCTCATCTTTCTTGCTCAAGAGATAGTGTAGCCTATTATACGACCCATACTAATTCTGTTAAGAGGGTTAGAAAGATTAGAGGCATATAATGGGGTCAGGAGCTGATTTGCAACATTTAAATTAGCAAGTTACAGCATTGTTGAACTAGTTTATAACAGAGAATGGCTCGGGCCCTATAGTTTATGAGGCAAGCTCATGATATTAGTGCACTTAAGGTTACAGCGGTTATGAGGTAACTACGTAGAATTTGCAGACTCTACGTGCTAATGTTACGCTATCATCGTGTTATTGTTTCCAAGTAAGCAAACTTGGAATAGTTAGAATGTCATCCCTGGTTAAAATCTTGGACATTCTTTGCATATTAGTGACAGAGTTCTTTTAATTTTTGCCTTTTTTTTACATTTAATTACACAATGAGGCGAGTAGTTTAATGACTTAAGTTTATATTTGGTCCGATCTAAATCAGCAGGCCATGCAAACTGAGGCTCGACTACATGTACCACCTCAGTGTAGAAGTACAGTACTGTATGTAGTAACTTGTAGAAATTTTCTGACATTATTGAATGACCCATAGATATGTGACCCAAATATACATTGTGTTTTAAGAATTTGGTAAAAAAACATCATATTTTGTTTACATTTTGTGTTAACAGACTACAGCCTGGTGGCCATTCTGCCTGCGGGTGCATACAGAATCATGATCAGCGAGGAAACCCCAACCATGAATTTCCTAGCTCTTGCAGATAACTCTTCATCCTTCTTCCTTAATGGAGGCAGAAGTCAAGAACCTTCTAAAACCTTTATCAGTAAGATCCTGCAGATACTCAATGCTTTATTATAAATAGGGATGTGTAATGATACTATTTTGTTCTAAATGATGCCATACATTGGTGTTTCCTTGTTAATGTGTATATAGTATTTAGAGTAATTACTTGTTCCATTTTATATCATATCCCTGGTGTACAGTGCATATTTTGTGTATTTTCTATATAAATGGATATATTTATTTAGCTAAATTTTATGGCATATAGAATTGAAAGTTAGGAACTGTAAACGGATACTGTAAGGCCTTCGGAAAGCACTTTTGATAAATTGAGTGGTATTGCACAGGTGAAGGAGCCAAGTTTGTGTACAGCAGTCAGAGTGAACGTGAGATGCTACAAGCAAGAGGTCCTCTCCTTAAGCCTGTCTCCATCATGGTAAGACATTACTTTTAACCATATTTATATATATTTTAACCATATATTTAAGTTATACTCCTCTAATCACCATAAGCAAATTCTTTCCCATTTGATTTGTTAACTATTTTGTCATACAGACCTTGATGCACTTTTAAATAGCTGCATAGATGTGTCTGGTTGGCCTCTTACCTGTGACATGGTTTTGCCTGTGGCCTAGTTCATGTTTCATCTTTACGATGTTCAGTCACACTGTCATGCATCTCACTGGCCTGCTCATGTATCACCTGACCCCTTCTTGGTCTTTGGAACATGTTCTTGCATTTTTCTTCCTCTTGGCTTACAAAATCCCCCTTGGTCTATGATAGTTCCTGTAAATCTTTGATTTTTGGTTTCTCTTGCTTGGGTTGGGGAACTTCATGCTCTCCTCTGGAGGTGTTATTGTTCTTTTGACCCTGGTGGGCGTTTTGGAGCCAGCTCCTCTTCTGGCGAAGAAATCTGACCCCTCCAGATGGCTTCTGGAGGGTTTTTTTTGGTCATTGATGCTTGGTTGGTTTGGCCGGTGATGCATCATGTGCTGTGTTCAGTGGCGACTCTGCCGCTACCTTCATGCCACAATTCTGCTTCAGTGGATGCCTTGAGGCTTGATCCTTTTACCTTAGCCCATGTTCCAAGGCTGCATGAAATTCAAGCACAACATAAAGCCACACTACTGGCAGACGACGCCACCTGACTCGGCAAAATGCCTCATGATATACTATGAATATTGCTAATTCTAGCCTCAACACTGCTATTATCAGATTCCTGATTCTTTGCATTGTGAACATCATAACCAGCATTATGTTCACTGATATCTGATCTTTGTGCATGGTGTTTATCAGTCAGGATTTTCTATGACACTACTATTGTAATTACAGTATTTTGTCATATTATTAAGGGATGCTGTGGACACTAGCTTCATGGCGGTGTTATGAACTGGTGAAGCATACGCTGCTTGTAGTCATCCTTTCAATACCATGGCCCTCACACCCAGCAGGAGGGCCCACGATTTTTTTTCCCTTAAGATGGCATTTGTTTACTAGCCACCTGAGGCAGCAAATGTGAGCCTTGTGCAGTGGGGTCAGACATGGTGTGATAATCCCTAACTGACTCTCACATTTAATTTAAATTAAAAAGAGGTAGGACAAGGGGACATCAATATATATTGGATATGTAATTGAGTCGGAGAGATGTAAGAACATTCTCGATCCCTGTATGGGTGGTAGGAAAGTTTACTGTTCTCCATAAACCTGGAGATTTTATTTTTGATCAAACTGATGAATGTGAGGATTGTTGGCATGCTTTTGGAATCTCTGCAAGCTAAAGTCTAATTTATATACAAGAACATCTTTTTCAGCAGCATATCACATCCACCAAGATATAAGATAAATAATGCATTTCATGACTACTTGAGATGAAAAACTGGCTTTTGACTACCCTAAATCTACTCTTGCTGACAGTTTTTAAAACTGTATGGGACCATAATAGTATTCATTTGTTAACATACATATTTCTTTATACTGAAATATTTATCTTTCTAGATTCATGGCACACAAGCACAAGAATCTGTACATATTACAACCACCTTCCAAACACAACTTCAGCAGGAACACTACCAGTGGGAAGTTGGCCCATTCACTGCCTGCTCGGTCACCTGTGGAGGGTAAGTTCCATTTGTTTTCATGTTAATTATGCAGTGTATTTTTCAGGTGTCATTATAAATTTAGTCAAATTATTCTTGACTCTGAATATTGCTATAATTTTATTTTTATCATGTATTACATAATTTCAGAAGCCATTACATTACTGTACTACAAAATATGGCTCTTTATTATGACTTTTACCATTTGTTTATATTATAAGTACGACTTACGTAAAACACAATTTGTATAAAGTGTAAATATAAATGGCTTTAATATTATGTTTTTTCTTTGAATGGTTAATAGCGGTGAGCAACATCAAACTTTAGTATGTCGAGATCGCCGCACGGACACCCAGGTGTTCCACAATAAATGTAAACATTTGCCACGCCCATCACTGAACACTACTACATGCAACACCTTTGGGTAAGTTGCTGTTAAAATGCTTTAAAATGCTTATCTGTACGATACAGTTCAATAAAGTCCCCAGAGGCAATGTGAAGCAAGTTATCTAGATTGTTAGTTATTTGCTGAAATCTAAAATTTTCTTGTGTAAGAATATGTTTAATAAGAATGATACTGTATGTTTACACGAGTGTGGATACAAAGAGTAGCTTTTGTAAAGTAGGAAAATAAAATTATATACTGTAATTATTGATATAACATTCTCTAAGGTATGTTAATACACACCCTTGAGTCTCTAAAGTGAATGTCTAGTTGAGCATATATCGAGTTATTCTTGTATAGACGAGAAACTTGCATGGAGTATTAATTTATGAACAAAGATGATACCTCATGTAGTAATGTAAAAAGGAGATTAGAAAAAATTAATCAATACTGTAATATGTGACTGTGTGTGGAAGGGCATCTGTCATTGATGCAGAAAAAATCATTGCTAATTTAAAATTTTATAATTTTATAGCTAGAACACAATGACCAGTTCGACTTCAGTGTTAAGAACAATGTCGAACAGAACAGCAAAAAAAAAGTATGAAAAGTGTTTTATAGAATATGGCTTAAATGAAGAATAACTTAAAATCTAAATACAGTACTCTACAATATTCGAATGTAATGCTGGATAACAAAGCTTCATTATATTGCCATATGGGTAGTTCACATTGTAAAATTTGTTGAACAGTCTTATGTCATTATATCTGTTGTTGAGAGAAGAGGAAAAAAATGTAATTTAACACTTTTTGCAAGCTTACTATAATATGTATTCTTAGGTGTGAGGCCAGGTGGAAGACTGGCCCTTGGGAACACTGCTCAACTACTTGTGGGCCCCATGGGGTGCAGGAACGAATGGTGTCCTGTGTGACCCTCCCTGAGGCAGACACTGCTAACTGGACAGCAGGAATAGTGGATCCACTAAGGTGTAGTGCTGACCCCATGCCTGAAGCACAGAGGGAGTGTCTCAGGCACCATTGTCCTGCACACTGGACACCCATTGGCTGGGATGAGGTGGGTAGGCTGGATTTACATAAGTGATTCTTTGCCTCAGATTATTAAAGTAAATGTACAACCAACTGAAATAATAATTTATGCTTTTATACTCATGTGTACACTAAACACTTGCGATTTACCAAATTTTTTATTGATGGCTTTTGACTTTCTGCAGTAGATCACCAATCACTGTATGTAATGTTTAAACACAAAGTGTTTAGTGCAGATGATATATACATTACACAAATGCATGTTACAGTGTGTAGTTTTTCAGCAATAAAGCACAGAACCAGAGAGCCGAACCTCAACTCCTACAACAACAATTACACAAGTACACTATTCTTGCCACAACCTAATCATTATTAGGATGTGGCAAGGTTACTATAGCTTGCTCCATTCTCCTCGACCAGGCCTCCGTTTCGTTACACACCCCAGGAAGCAGCCCGTAGCAGCTGTCTAACTCCCAGGTACTTATTTTACTGCTAGGTAACAGGGTGAAAGAAACTCTGCCCATTTGTTTCTGCCTCCACAGGGGATCGAACCCAGAACCTCAGGACTACGAATCTGAAGCGCTGTCTACTCAGCTGTCAGGCCCCAGGGATTAGGCATTGTTGAAACATCAGTTAACCAATGAGAAAGGTTACCCAGTTCCCTCAACAGGGTGGCAGTACACTTCTTTATCTTACATAGAATATATACTGAACTGTCACCTCCAATTTGTAATCACTTTATCTCTAAAGACATTGAGTGTTTTTATTCATATTCTTATCAGTGAAGAACTTGCATATTAGACAATCCTTAACAGATTATCATCTTACAGTGCTCCAGTACCTGTGGTGAGGGTGTGGAGACACGCCTGTGGGAGTGTGTTGGCGGAGGAGGTAATGAAGTGACATATGACTGTGGCATCCGCCCACATCAAGTGCGGGTGTGTATCAAGCCTTCATGTCCGCCTGTGCCCTGTCTCCGAGATGCTTCAGAATTCTGCCAATTACCTGTGTTACACAGATATTGTCAAGTGCCAAAGTACCGTGAACTATGCTGCCATACATGTGGCAATGTTGTGTATTAACAGATCAATCCCAGTTATTTATGGTATATGGTTGCATGTGCATCAGAAAAAACCATCATCAGTGTGGCCTAATATCTACATTTATTTGTAGATACAAGTGTACTGTCTTAAGTGTCTTACCTACAAGAACAGTGTTACTACAAAACATGCATCAGGGAACTGGCATCCCCTGAAGATTGCAACTTTGTCAGTTTTAAACTCTCTAAAGAAACTGAGTACATTACTGGTACCATTACTCTAACCTTGTTGCTCTACACTGCTGATGTAGTAAGCAGGGAATCCACAGTGCACTAGTGTTCAGTCAGCCAGTGTGTTAACTGGCCAACCATTGCAACAATGTCGACCAATTTGTCTGACAAATGCAAAATATATTTGAAGTGTGTTAATTGTTGGACAGATGTAAGGGGTAGTTGATCACTTCATCTGTGCATCATACTGTTTACCATTACTTAGATGAATGACAAGTGCAACATATCATTGACCAGTTTTCTAGTTGGTTGACCAACTTAATATGTTGCCAGCCACTTTAATGGTTGGCCAATGTATCGGGCAGCTGACCAGTGTGTCAGCTAGTTAACAAAACTATTTAATGTTCAGTTAATGTCAAGATTGTCACCTAGACTGAGCACAGTAATGATCAAGTGACAAATGCTTGATAAGTAACATTTTGGCTGTTAAAGTGTGTAGAGTGCTTTAACCCCATCATACTTTTGATTAGTGTATCGGGCAGTTCACCGGTGTTGGGCAATTGGACTCGGTATGTTAACCGACACATTCAATAATTGGACCTTCAGGTTGGGTTAAATGGATAAAACAATTTTATCGATTGTGTCAAGTGCAATCCATTCCCAGTTTTACAGGGTGACATACTGACACTAGAAAAGTTAACCATATTATTTTAAGGATTATATGGTAAAGTGTGTCCCAGCACTAAGATTTGTATTACACAATACTGTATTTAAATAATGCACATACTGTACTGTAAAGTTTTAAGATTTATTAACACTATAGTACAACACAAATTATGAATGAGAAAAGGTAATGTTCTCATTAGATAAATTTAAATCTACAAGCAAAAAATGTTTTGGTTAAATGTACATTTACATTTTGTTCTTTACCTGTAACAAAACATTACAATCAAGCCCCTTTGAGGATATGGTGTAATTATGATTGTATATTATTTGATTTTATTTAAATGTATTACTAGAATATCTCTGCCTAGAAGTTTGTTTAATATCCAGGGGAAAATGAGTCAACCAAGTTAAAAATCAACTAGAGCACATTTGTGAAGACCGTTAGAAATACAGTACTGTACCTGTATGTGAAAGAAAGTGCCGAGTACAACCTATCAGTTTTTACATAGCATTTTCAGTAGCAATAGGAATTATCAAGAGCATAGCTGAAATAGTCTCAGTACTGTCTATGCAACAGCAACTTCTACTTGATCTTAACTTAAAAAAATGCCCAAGAGAGCAAATTACTGAAACCATCTTGTTTGACCCATTTTTTTTTTTTTTAAAGAACTTTGCTATTCCAGCTCCTGATACAAAAATGCAGTACTGGATTTAATCTTGCAGAGATTTGATCTGTATACATTGTAACTGGATAAAATTGGAAGTGAAGTGTTGTGAGTTGGTGGAGGAGTTGAGCAGTAGACGGTTAACCAGTAAGAAAGTTGACCAGCATGAGAAGAATCTGGTTGACTAGCATTTCAGGTAGATGATCAGGAAATTGACCAGTATTTTGTTTACACTGACCAGTATATATAATAGTGTGTTGGATAGTTGATGAGTACATCAGGAAGATAAATAATGTACATAATAATTGACCAGTGCTATCTAGACGGTAAAATTCATTAGGTTATCGAATCCATTAATGATTATGTGGAGCATTATTATTATTTCCCATAGTCGGGGACTAGAGGCCTGTTTGGCTTATTGAGGCCAGTGACTGTCCTCTATAGGATACAACCCACAAAGACCTGCTTAACTATTACCTATTTAATTAATTTATTAAGCTAGGTGAACAGACACATCAGTTATAAGGAAACATGCCCAAACGTCTCTCCCTGCCTGGGAATTGAACCCAGGACCTTCGGTTGTGAACCGACTGCGCTGACCACGGGCAGTGTTGAGTGGAAAACTTGTCATGTACTGTACTTGGCTTTCTTGTAAATTATTTCTCCCAATTGATTAATGCCATTTGTCTACCCGTGTCGTCAGATGACTAGCATATCACGTAATCAGGTAGTGTTTCAACTAGGTGACTACAGCGAGCTGAGGTCAACAAGGTGTGATAGATGGTTGACCAATGTGTCAAGTCGTCAGTGGTCAACCAGTGTCGAGTGTCCTTTGTTACATGGTTGACTAAATTATTTGGTGTTGTGTTGTGTTTAATAATCTGCTAGCTAAAATTTTTGTTAGGTACCTCTTGTGCTGTGTAGTGCCATATTTAGATATGTTTGTGTTGCTCTGTGAAAATAAATAAATAACCCTCCCCTGATGTTTAATGGTAACCTCTGCAAAGTTACCTTTTAATATCTATGAAAGTTGGTTATCACTTCAAGGTAATTTATTTGTGTACCCCTTCTGTACTTAAATAAAGGAACATATATCCTTTATACACACACATCACAGGATCATACACTAATAATAATAATAATGGGAACTGCAGAAGGCCTTCTGGCCTATATGAGAACGCTGCTACTTATATATAACAAACCTCTTATACAGATAGTATATACATAGATAGAATATTCAAACAATCAAGTGGTCTCATGGCTATTATGTTACCTGGTAATTTGTTCCATAAATCAACAACTGTTTCCAAACTAGTATTTACCTAGCTTTTTCCTGGATATAAACTTATTCAATTTATATATATTATTTCCTGGTTCTACTTTCTGGTGATTATATTTAATACCTTATTTGAGACGCCCTGTGAAGGTTGCCTAGGGATAGGCAAGTGATGGGAGGTTCTGCGAATATATTTACACTGAATTATTTCAGTGTCATTGACTTGTTTTTTCACTATGTTTTGCAGTTATATGCCATTTAACTGTTTAAATGACTGTGATGGTGGAGTAGATGAAATAAGGTGAAATTCTGGTGAATTTCATGTGCTCACCCCTAAAACTCCAGGTCCATAAACACCAAAGGAGCCAACTCTGGGGCAACCATTGAGCACCAAGCTAAGAACAACGAATGCAGGATAAACAAGCCCACAAAGCAGCAGCTGCTTTATAAGCCTCTTGTCTGGGGGGCAGTTTAGATAAAACAGACTGATGATGAACATAAACATAAAATTGCAAGCCTCAGGGGTCAAAGGTGTCATCGACCCAACAGGCAGCATGGCAGAGACCAAGAATGACTATCAGCATATAGCAAAGCTGAAAAGCACCCTTCAAACTCACATAATGAGTGGATTTGGTGGGTAGATACATTACGAGCCATACTGCAGAACCACAAGGGGAGTTACCAGGGCCTGGAGGAGTAACCCAGGATACCCAGGCACTAGGAAAACTCGCCAAGAGAACTGACACTACAGTTGACAGAATAAACTTTGCTGCAAATGGCATCAGTGGCATGCCATTTGATTAAGTGCAAGAATCATAGCGTACACAACAAAACACCCATAAATGTTCCAAACCACATGGCCTCCCAGAGGAATCAAAGACTCGTTTACTACCCGGGGTGAAGCTCTTTACATACAAGCCTAGCCTCTAACAAGTAAACTCCCAAATACACAAGAGAAGTCTAAATAGTGTGCAATATGATAATTTATATACTGTACTGTAATAAAATGTGTGGCCCATTGCTATACTCAAAAATATGGTGTGCATATTTGTGATACAATTATTATATTCATAAAACAATAAAACTGTTTTTGTTATTATTGCATTGCATCTGTATATATCATTAATTTAGTGCAATCATCTGTATATCATCTATACTGTATATATAACTATCTAAATTTTTATGTACCATTACAAATCACTAAGTGTTTCTGGTAAGTGTAATAATCGTATAACTGGTTATCAGAGTTCAGCCTAGTCATACACATTTTGCACTAAATTCCAACAGCATGCACTGAATATATACTACAGTATTTTCTTCGTATTTTGAATGCTTTTACCGTGGATTTTCCAAAGTGCAACGTTGCATTGTGCTGTCAATAATACAATTTGTATCATAGAAAATATAGAATACTGTATTGGTACAGGCATATTATTATGTCACCAATATCTATTAAATATTATATTTTTTGAACAAAAAAATATACTGTTTTTGTTGCTATTGCACTATACATATACGCTATATATAACTACAATTTTGTGCACCATAACGAACCACTAAGCTGGTCTGGTGAGTCCAAACAACATAGCATCACCACACGCTAGTCAGCTAACAATACTACCTCACTCAGAAAAATTCCTTGTCCCAACATACTACACACATCATTAATTCTAGGCACAATGCTGCTATTATCAGAATTCTGGTCACTAAATCCTGAAAATTAATCATTTGTCCAAAGTTTATTAATGTAAAGGAACATGAGCTGTCATTTCAAAATGCTTAGATGGACCAAACAAAGGCAGAGTGCTGTGGTTACCTAGTACCTGTAAGCATCATGAATGGCATTATGTTCACTGATATCTGAACACTATACACAGTCTTTATCAGTCAGGCTCTTCTACAATAGTGTCAAAAACAAAATAATAGTAGTTTCATATATATTTTGCCATTTTTAAGCAATACAGTGGTCACAAGCTGAACAGCAGTGCTGTTAGCTCATGCTGCATGTGCCAGCCTTGGTTCCTCAATCAGTACAGAGGTCTTCACCCCAGGAATGGTGCCCACAATAAATTCTTCAAAATGGCATCTGTTTACTGGATCCCTGAGAAAGCCAATGTGAACCCTGTGTAACCACGGGCCTTTTAAATCTCTAAAACATATATACACTATGTGCAGTGCAGTCATTTAGGCCAAATTCATATTACAGTATGTATGTGAAAAATATATATACAGTATATATATATATATATATTTAAAATGGAAAATGATTTAGACTAACATACAAGAGGAAATGCAGAAATACAATAAGTTACTTTACCGAGAGTGTAGAAAGGTTCCAGGAGGCTATGTGGTTCACAATTACAGATGATGATCACAGAAGAGGCACTTTACACTCATAGCTGTGCAAATCCTGTAATGGAACCATGCTCACCTAATGCCTCATGGGTGATTTCAGCCAAGTTTCAGCCTTTGGTACGAATGATAGATTGGGTGCCAATTCTTAACTATTCACACATATATCCTCTAGCAGTCACAGGGGACCAGGTTGTAAACCAATTGGTAAATCGTGTTGCAGGGAAAACGAGTAGGGTATGAATTAAGGTGAGCTATGGGAAGGGGAAAGTTCTAAGCATGGTAGTAAAAACGAGATATCATGTACAGTATCCATACTTTAATTTCATTTAATCACTAAAGTATTGACAAATTTAAACAACATTCAACATTTACATACTATTGCAGCTCATCATTGACAACAGTAGAATCATCATCGTCGTCATCATCATAATCCGAATCATCAGAATCATTTTCTTCAGAGTCACTCAGCAATAGCTTCTCCTCCTCTTTCATAATACTGGCAAATACATTATATTCTTCCTCTGTTAGTCTTGCAACTCTGAAAAATATTGCTTTATATTATTTAAAAGAAAGGAAAATCAAATAATGAAGAAAAGATGTAGTGGTATCCTTCTCAAATGGAACCTAACTAAACAGAAAATCAGATACAACAAAAGGATTACAATATCAGTAGCGTTGGTTGCAATTGATTAGCTGTCTGAATTAGCAAGATAATCTAAAGTTACAGAACCAGTAAAAAAAATACATGTTTACACTTGCTCAATTTGCTACACCCAGAGATATGATCCGCTGTTACAGAAATGATCATACACAGGCAGGCAGGATGACATACCAGCCCGTCCTCTTACGGTTTCCAAACATCAAGAAAACACTCAAATTAAAGTGTTAATTACTCTTAACCTACCAGAGAACCCAAAACAGAAACGGGATAGTACAGTATATCTCTTTTTGCGAGCCACTTCCACTTTCTAGTACGACAATTTTTGGCCTTATGTAATGCCTACAAGCGAAAAGCGACATTCTTTGTCAAGAGGACAGGTTAGACATACAGTACGGCACTAGTGCCACAAATACCTTATAGTCCCTGCACGACTAAGAAGTCACTAAAGAATGCATCAATCCAAACAGTCTGCAAGATCAAGCCTTAGAGATGCTGATTGTGTGACCGTTAAAAGCATGCTATGGTTGACAATCAATCGCCACATTTGTTTACTTCTGCAGGCCATCACTAGGTGTCAGTACCACACCCAGCCCCAGCATAAGACACCCAATCCACCTCATATTTACCAACTATCTTAAGTCAGTCAGAAGGTGATGACCAGTTTTTAAGGCTAGTTGGGCTGGATCTTGAAATTCTTTGATTACATTGAAACTGGAAAACTTTGGTCAGTCCACTGCTGTTTACAGCTCAATAAGTGTTCCTTGTGTATTTTCAGTCTGTTCCTAAATACTATACACAAACAAGAGTTGCTAGCTGGTGACCAGAAGTGTTTTTTTTTTTTATGTGCATTACTTATTGCTTTATACTTTTTTTACATGCCACCAAGAGTATTCAATGGTGTCCTCTAGCTGGTGAACCAGCTCCAGCGATCTGTTCCCTCTCCATTGTGCTGGCAACAGTCAGATTGTGCATACTACAGGTTATACTTTAATCCTTTTTGCATCCAAAAGGGGTTGTTACAGGGTTAATTTATGGCTCCTGAGAAACTGATAGTCTGGCTCCTGACTTCTGCCCAAATTGTAGTTCTGGTTACCTGCACCAGGCTGTGGTGACTACACATATTATAAATAAATCAGTTTGTAAACAAGAGGGGTTCAGTATGTGTGTCAGGGTGAGGTTGGGTCTTTTCTATAGAAACTAGTAGAGTGGTCTGACTTCAGGGAGCTTCCCTTTAATGCAGATCAAGGGCAGTGATGCTGTTTACCTGTACCGTACCTGGTACAGGTGATTTAAGCTTTCAGTTACTTAACCAATGATAGTGACTAGCTATGCATGGTGAAAGACAACTCTGGGTGGAATAAGATGACAATTTTTGTAACTGAATAGACATTGATATTATGTGCAAATTCACCCTGTTAGTTCCTGACTGTTTTCACCTTAGGGCATGTGAGGTGTGTTTCAAGTGGGTAACTACCCTATTTGACCTTCAATTGCAGTGAACTGCATATGTGGTTATTGCTACAATCAGGTATTTTGATGCACCCAGCCCTTTAAATGACATCCACATACAATCTTTAGGATTTTGTAATATTATGGGGCTCATTAAAACTCTCACAGGTGATAGGTGCACCACTTCCTATCACCCAGGAGCTACAGGCACAGTTTAAGGGTGACTAAAGATACTTACTTCTTAGCAAAATACGCAGCATTGGTATCCATGATGTCGGAGAGTGAATGGTTCCTCTTGTGGCTCTGCTTATCTCGCAACAGGTTAGGCGTCTTATATAGTCCCGCTCGATAAAGAAACTGGTGTCTTGTCTTTATCTCCAAAAACGATAGCGCCAAGGCCTTACTGTTAGCTAAGTGTGGCTGATCTAAGCCCATTTCCTGATAAGCAAGAAAGAACATAATGGATGCACTGCACAAAATGACAACTCCCATGAAACAAAAGTCAAACATTCCTGAGCTGCATTAATGTTTAACATTTTATATACAGTTATACAATTTAACAATTACACAGAATTATTAAAATTTAAAGCTTATTTTAGGAGACCAAAAAGATACTCGTTTACTTCTAATATTTTCAGGCATTATTTGATTAAATTATTAAACTAAAAACTGCATAGCATAGTGTAATTTTATAATTAATTAAGCACCAATATGCAAAACTTACTGTGTGTATGTACATAATCTTATCCATGACATCCTTCCATCTTTCCACAAGGATATTTGGGTTGTTCCAGATAACAGACTTAAATTCAGTTGGTGGAAATATCGATGACACCAATCCCAGTCGTTTCTGGATTTGCTGCGGCTTATAAGAGAAGAGTTCTGGATACCTGGTGGGTCAAGTACATATACTGTATTTTAACGTCATATATTTCCATGGTTAAATGGATGTGGCTATTGAGAATGTGAAAAATATGCAATAAATGTTTGCAAATCTACAAGTAACTTAGGTATTTGTTTGTATCCAAAAAAATAAACAAACCAGAATTATTAAATTATCTAAAATATACCCCTTTTTACTACCTAAAAAATACTATTTATTTCAAAGTACTGTCCAATATACAGTATATGGAAGTAACTATCAAAAGAAAGATTTGGGATTGTAACTATTGTAAATTGAAGGTTTTGTAACTATCAAAAGAAGGATTAAAATATTTGGGGAGTAGAAGAACTCCCAGACCCCATCAAGCAGGTAAGGAACAAGCCAAGAATATTATGGAGCACTGTCCATCTCTCAGGATATTCAAAGGGCACTAAATATCAATCAAGATGCACATAGAGAACAAAAGGCGAGCGACATCAAAGCCATAGGATTCACCAAGGATTCTACTGAAGGACAAGTTACGTGGAGAAATATTGGGAAAGTAAAACATACGATTATCTTGAAAATCAAGAGATTTCACAGGGAAGTGCATTACTGTAAGTGGGACAATGCAATTCACACAATTTAACACAAGGGGAACACGCACAAGGGGACACAGGTGGAAACTGAGTGCCCAAATGAGCCACAGAGATATTAGAAAGAACTTTTTTAGTGTCAGAGTGGTTGACAAATGGAATGCATTAGGAAGTGATGTGGTGGAGGCTGACTCCATACACAGTTTCAAGTGTAGATATGATAGAGCCCGATAGGCTCAGGAATCTGTACACCTGTTGATTGACGGTTGAGAGGCGGGACCAGAGCCAGAGCTTAACCCCCGCAAACACAACTAGGTGAGTACAATAAAGAGCAGGGTACTGTTCCATTAAGTGCCCATGATTGGCCAATATGCAATCTAGTCAGAGCTGTTTCCCACCACTTATCATGGTGTTAGGAAGAAAGGCAATGGAATGTGTCATTTTTAAGAGTGCATAGTTTGTTAATTATCCCCCAACACAGTGAACTGTGTTGGGGGACAATTATACAGCGTATATACAGTACATGTTAGGCTTATATCGAAGTCTCCCCCAAGATCTAATTGCTGACCGCGCCCAGGATGCAACCTCACAAGCTGACTCCTGGGTACCTACCTACTTACTGCTAGGTGAACAGGTCATTAAGTGATAGGAAATCCACCTAATCATTTCTGTCCTACCCGCGATTCGAACACAGACTTCTCGATTTAGAGTCGAGAATGAATACGATTGTACAGTACTACAGAGAGCCTGTAAATGCCAATGACCTTGCCAGTGGTCACAAAGAGTAGAATGAATGACCAAGTAGAAACTCAAATAAGGAATTTGCTTTTGGGAAATAGGAAAAGTATGTTCATTCAAGGTAACACCAATATGGTGTTACCTTTGGAAAAGTTCCAAAGTGTGTTTGTACAAAATGAAATCTTCAGGAAACCAGACACAATAAGAATGCCAGAGAACAACATAAAGCACATAGAGGTGTCTAGAGACAAAGTGGAAAAATGCTCAAGGCGCTATAAGTAAGAACAAAGCAGCTGGCCCAGATGGAGTTTCACCTTGGGTTCTGAGAGAATGTGCACCTGAATTCAACATTCCACTTCAACTGATTTTCAGGCATTCCTGCGTACAAGAGTTGTAACAGATGTGTGGAAAAAGGCTACCATAGGTCCAATCTACAAAAGTGGTAGCAGGGAAGACCCCCTTAATTATTGACCCGTATCATTGGACGAGTGTAATAGCCGAAATATTGGAAAAATAATTAAAACTAAATGGGTAAACACCTGGAGAAAAATTATATAATATCAGACAGTCAGTATGATTTTCTATCTGGAAGATCCTGTATAACAAATTTACTCAGTTTCTATGATCGAATCACAGAGATTTTACAGGAAAGAGATGGTTGGGTTGAATGCATCTATCTGGACCTAAAAAAGGCTTTTGACAGAGTTCCACATAAGAGATTGTTCAGGAAACTGAAATATATTGGAGGGGTGACAGATATGCTTTTAACATTGACAACAAATTTTCTAACTGACAGAAAAATGAGAGCAGTAATCAGAGGCAGTGTACTGGACTGGAGAAATGTCACAGGTAGAGTACCACAGGATTCAGTTCTTGCACAGGTAACGTTCACTGTCTACATAAACGATCTACCAGATGGAATACAGAATTATAAGAGCACGTTTGCTAATGATGCTAAAATAATAGGGAAGATAACAAACTTAGATGATTGTCATGCCCTTCAAGAAGACCTGGACAAAGTAAATACTGTATATGGAGCACCACTTAGCAAATGCAATTTAATGTGAATAAATGCCATGTTATAGAGTGTGGAATAGGAGAACATAAGACCCCACACAACCTATAAATTATGTGAGACAATTCTGATAAGAGAGAGAGAGAGATCTAGGGGTGGTTCTAGGTAGAAAACTATCACCCGAGGACCCATTAAGAACATTGTGCAACGAGCCTATGATACACTTGTCTGAGTACTACAGTGTCAGAGTAGTTAACAAATGGAATGCACTAGGAAGTGATGTGGTGGAGGCTGACTCCATACACAGTTTCAAATATAGGTATGATAGAGCCCAGTAGGCTCAGGAACCTATACACCAGTTGATTGACAGTTGAGAGGCGGGACCAAAGAGACAAATCTCAACCCCCGCAAGCACAACTAGGCGAGTACACTTTCTAACCTCGGAATTACTTTCAAATACTAGTACATGGATGGTGGAATACTAAAGAAATTGTTCACGACTTTTGTTAGACCAAAGTTGGAATATGCAGCGGTTGTATGGTGCCCATATCTTAAGCAGCACATCAACAAACTGGAAAAGATCCAAAGACATGCCACTAAGTGGCTCCCAGAACTGAAGGACAAGAGCTACAAGGAGAGGTTAGATTCATTAAATGTGCCAAAACTAGAAGATCAAAGAAAAAGGGGCAATATGATCACTACGTACAAAATAATAACAGGAATCGATAAAACTGATAGGGAAGAATTCCCGAGACCTGAAACTTCAAGAACAAGAGGTCATAGATTTAAACTAACTAAACAAAACTGCCGGAGAAATTTAAGAAAATTCACTTTTGCAAACAGAGTAGTAGATGGTTGGAATAAGTTAGGTGAGAAGGAGGTGGAGGCCAAAACCGTCAGTAATTTTAAAGCATTTTTTGACAAAGAGTGCTGGGAAGACGGGACACCACGAGCGTAGCTCTCATCCTGTAATTACACTTGGGTAATTACAGAATCTTCAAGCATTTGTTTAGTGAAGCAGGTGAGTAAATCCAGTCTGAAAAGTGTGTTGTAACCAGAGATTTGCCAAAAAAAGGTTCACCAGATCAAAGTTACATTGAAAAAAATAAAAAAAAAACTGATCAGTACAAAATTCTTATTATCAGTACAAAACATTGTACTGATACAGTAATACATTACAGTATATTACAGGTACAGTACATGCCTTTGGAATGCTTATGGCCTGGTACTGAATTACTTGCACCATGTTTTCTATTACAAAACATTCACTGAATAACTTTTGTTTTTGGTTTTAAATGGAATAGCTGGAAAATGCAAATCTTTCCCTCCACCCAATCAAAGAATCAGTCAGCAGCTTACATGAATCTTTCCCCATAGGGATTCAGGTACATCTTTGCACACATTCAAGTATTCCAAGGCTTGAATTTTTTTAAGCTCACCTAATAAATGTAATTAAAAAATATTTACCTGTTTATAAGTGATAAAATATTATGTTTTCCAATCTTGATCTCTCTATACTTAAAGAGGGTCTGTCCAAGCTTAGAGGGTTTAACTTGTAGAAACTGAGGATTTACAGCAATGTTCTGGAGAATTGTTCGACTTGATAATCCATGCTCCAAAAAAACTTCACATGTGTCAGTCCAGGATTTTATTGCAAAACTTAGCAAGTGTGGAGTTTCAAGCAGTTGTCCTTCTATAGTTTTTGATTCGAGTCCAAGGTCTAAAAGAAACTGATAAAGTGCAGCAATGCGTTTCTCAGAATACATATTTATTCCTTTAGACTGTAAATCTTTGACAATCTTGAGGCTTCTTGCTTCAATACCCATTACATTTTCACTCTTCAGCTGTGATGCAGAACAAGAGCAATACGTTTTTTTTGTATACATCATAACCTCCTCATCATAGAAGTTGTGAATCTGGTAACTAAAGCCAGGAAGAGAACTCAGAGGAACGGCCGACATGCTCAGCATCCTTGCTTTCCACAACCCTAGAGCCACAACCTGAAAATAAAAGAGAACCCTCATAATAATCCTTTCCTTTAATAACTTGTACTACACACACACACTTTCACATCTCAGCTAGGCTACTTAAATCCTCCATGTGTATATTTGACTCCCCAGTTCACAATGAGATTTAATTCACTTATATATCCAATCCTTAAAAACTTTCAAATTATGATTTAATGCCATGAACTCTTAGTTACATGCCCTTATGCATACCATCTGCACCAAGAAAATAACTGGACAGAAAACTGTTCAGTTTTTTCCAAGACTTCCACTTTTGTTCCGGTAGTATTTCTTACTTGCTGTGGAGGATAGTGAAGAATTGTGGGGATAGGTTTTAAAACCTATGATTATTTTATTTTGATTATATCCAATATATTATAGAGCCAATGATTATTTGATAATGTTTGGACTATCAGTCTTCCATCTCTAGCTGGGGGAAACTGACAAGAATGGGGATGTACTGGTAGGGAGAGAGGTGGGGGGAGGGGAATACTAGAAGGGCAGCAAAAGATCTACATCTATCAAGGTAAAATGCTTCATCCTAAAAAATTTTGTATACATGTTTCCTATTACAAGATTAAATATGGTGGTTTATCCGAATTATCCTCGGACAGCGTGTCAAAAGGTCCCCCACTGTTTCCGAGGATTTTTCCCAACTAGATTTTGACCTGGAGTCATTTTTCCCACCAAGGATTTTTGACCTTGTCATTTATGGCTCTGGAAGGTTGGCGGTTTCACGGGTTTATACAAATGCACGTGAAAAAGCATCTTCTGTTTTGTGACCGATATTGCGGCTTGTTAAGCTTGAAGCTGTTGCTCCTTGTATGTGTTACATGCAACGCATAATATCCTCGAATGAACTTTTTTTTTTTTTTTTTTAGCATTTTATAGGTCTCGATGAGATCAGCCGTTATGTCTACCATTCTTGGTACAGGTCGAATTAGTTCCGAGATGATTTTTGCCGCTCTATCCTGAACTTTCTCCAAAGCGCATCTGTTCTTTCAAAGGCGAGATCTCCCTCTGCCTGGGCACAATAGGCCGCACACGGGTGCACCAGCCTATAATTTTATTTTATTTTTATTTTATTTTATTTATTTATATACAAGAAGATACATTGGGTTAGAGAGAATACATAGCACAGTATTTACAATCTTGTAAAGTCACTAGTACGCCATATACGCCAGTATATAAGCCATATCATATATAATTACTTAAATAACCATTTGGTTTTCCTCGAGGCTGTATATCAGCGACCTGTGCTCGGCTTGACCTAACACTATACATCATTAGTGACTTAGGAACATGTTAATACCTCCGTCAACAATCATACTCTCTAACACCACAATCTGAGATCAGACTTTTGAACGTTATTCTGAAGTCTTGAAGTGTTACTGAGGCTGGAGAGAACTCTCACGTACGGCCAGGTTATAGTGGACAAACTCCTCTCATTCCCTGTACTCACTCTGGCCATCTTGGTTATGATGAGGAGGAGTGATGATGATGTATGATGAGGAGGAGAGTCAAGGTGTGAGGTGTCCCAGTGTTGTTGTGGTGGTGCCCGGGTCTCTCCCTCTCACACTCCCTCACTCTCACTATTATTATTGTTTTATATTATTATTATTATTATTATTATTGTTTAATAATATTAATAATTATTATAATTATTATTATGTTACGATAATTATTATTTTATTTTAAAATATACAGAATATAATTTAGTGATTGCTTAATTATTGCTACATTATGGTGAGTACTTGATTGTTACTAGAGTACACCAAGTACACAATGTTGCTTCTTGTTGTTTTATATTCAGCTGCTGGCAACACAAAATTCCAGGTAGCACGGGCTATGGTGAGCCCGGAGTGGACTTACCTGGCACAGGAGTGGGGCTGTGGCTAAGTAAATAATTAAATAAATAAATAAATATGTTTATTCAGGTAAGGTACATACATACAAGTGATGTTACATTAATGGATTGATATATAGATAGAGCTAGTACATACAATGCCTAAAGCCACTATTACGCAATGCGTTTCGGGCAAAAACGCAATAGTACATAATTTAATGTACAGTATGCAACAACGATCAATTTATAGTATATATACAACTTTGGCGCCCACCCACTGAAGCCGAAATGTCAAAACTCTTTTTAAATGTTAAGATCCAACATGGAAAAGATCAAGGCAAATGAGGGGACCGTTGACAAGTCGCCGGCTTCCTGTCAGCGTCGAGGCCGCCATAGTGGCACTCAGGTAAATAACAACATACTGTACATTATATTTTCCAACTGACTGTTGGAAAAGCCAAAATTAATGTACAGTTTATTTGTAATATGTTGCGCCCTGGTGAGGCCACTCCGGACCGACAACCAGGGCGCAACTCCATAGTCTCCTGAGACTGATGGATGCTTACTACTACTACTACTACTATCAAGACTAACTTGGTTATCTAAATGAATTATGTTGGGGTTGAGTCCCCGAGTTTATTATGTGTAACCTCTCACGCCCACGGTAATGGTCCCCGTACCACTCCTGTGGGGAGTAGTGGGCCCCATACCCATCCAACAGGTGGAAGTGAACCCCATACCTATACTTTTGGGTGGTAGCGATCACATTAACATCGTACGTGTCACTTATCTGAATAAATATTTGTTTATTTATTTATTTACTTGTTGTGGACCCTATATACATCCTGTTTGCAGTAGTATACCCACCATTAATATTCCAACTTCACATCGTTTTCTATTAACCTTCCTATAAACCATTCTCTAAGATTTTCAAAGCATACACTATTATATATAATGTTGTTTAGCGAAAACATTATTTTTATATATAATAATTTATAGAATGCTTATTATAATTTATTGAAAAGCACCAAGACTTCTCCTAAGTGCTAACCTTTAACTGGATGCACTGTAGAATAATGACTTAAATCATGGGTTGAAACATTAGTTGACACAGGATGGAGACTTGTAACTTTTTTTTTAACTATTTTAGTAGAGTATTCATCCGTCAACAGCTATCATCATCGCTGACGACTTCCCTACAATCTCAATGATTAAGCCTCAAAATCATCTAAAATATTAAAATGAGCCATAGGGGGTAGCTATGTATGCCATAGGTAAAAGGAGGTTCAATTTACATACCATCACAGCAAGTAAGAGCTCTCCTGAGGCTGTAAGAGTTACAGCCCCTCTCCTGTGCCAGGTAAGTCCATTACGGGCTCACCATAGCCCGTGCTACTTGGAACTTTTTGTTCGAAGTAGCAAATCTTAAACAACATCCCTCATCACATTAAGGCAGCACCCTTGAGGGAACTCCGGAGAGTATCATGTAGACTGTATCATCTGCACTGCCTCCCTCTACACCTATGATTCTCAAAGGGAAGACGATTCCCTGGGGAAATATTTAAAATCTGGGTGGAGGGAGTTTAGCCAGGAGAGGAGTGTCCGTAAAGGAAGGAACTCCAAGCTGCCTAAGAATGTACTCTGAGGAAATCTGGGGTCACAAAAAATGCAACCCAAGACTCTGAGAACACTGTTCTAGACTGTATTCTTTTACTAAGAGGGATACAGTCAGCACAACTGTACTGACGGTGGGAAGGTTCTCACTAGGAAGAAGTAGCCTCATAAGAACATAAACTGCAAAAGGCTCATATCTTAGTGTTTCCTCTCGGTCTCTTCATTCCTCACTCCTTTTACTGCTGGCGCCATCCTGTAATGTGCATTATCCTGATCCTTCTTAGCCGGGTATTTCCTGCTAAGCTTACTAGTTTAGCATTTGTCAGACATTACAATTGATCTGTGAGGTGTCAACACGTACTGTACTTACAAACAATTCTATGAACACGCATGCACATACAACAAAATACAATAATTACGTTGGCCAAAAGTAGCAGATACAGCACTGTACTTGTAATGGTGGACTTACTGTAGTTATACACAGTACAGATACTATAAACTGTTTTCACCATCTGTATGCTACTTATATCATACAATAGTTACAAATTCATAAAATTGGATATTTTTTTTTTTTAAATAAATTGCCAGCATTAATGTACAGTTTATTGAGACTGCAGATTACAGAGTGTGGTTATATAAGTTTTATTTTATACAGGATGTATGGTTAATTGTGATTGCAAATTATAGGGCATGTAATTTATTGAGGTTAAGGGGGCGTCTGGTTGGCATCTGGGTCCAAAAATGCAAAAATGAAAACTCATTCGATTTCAATCAAACTTTTTTGACAAGTTCTATATGAAAAGTGTTTCATCTGGTCCACGTTTCAGCATTGTAACATAAATAGGAAGGGAGAAAAAAAATATTGAAGTAGTTTTGAAAATTATGCAAAAATGGTCAAAATCGATTATCAATCAAAAGTGTCAACTGAAATCATAACTACAACTCTTTGCTATCACAATAGCATATATTAAACAAATATTATTATTAGTTTAATTGGAAAAAAATTTTAAGGAAAAAAAAAAAAAGGATTTTTTTTCTTTTTTTTTTTAAATATTATTATTTTTTTTTTTTTTGGGGGCGATTTGCATCAAACTTACACACCTGACTGTACGTAAGCCTATCTGTAAGGATGCCAATTTTCGAGAAAATTGGTTGATGTCAAACCCAGCCACAGATTTTAGAACCTTAGACTTTATTCATTTCTGTTTTTTTTTCAATTGACACAAACGTTTACAAAACTCATTCTTTTTTTATTCAATTTACATGAATCTTACACAGTACATATATGTGGAGGGCATGTCTCTACATTGGGGGGCTTTCATTTTTCTCTAAGTTCATTTATTGATTTTATAATAGCAATAAACATGCCATATTTGCCAAAAATTTTTGGGGAACTTTGAACATTTGTATTAGGAAAACTAAAGATGTTTTGGAAATTCTAAATCCCCAAATCCTTTATTATATGCTAATGTGTCAGAAAAGTGTCACAGAATAATTTTATCTGAAACGTGTGTTCTGAAGTGTGGACTTGAAAATGTGTAAAAAACGTTCAAAAAAAAATAAAAAAATAAAAAACTCCCTTTCTATTTAAGCTGCAGTACTGAAACTTGGGACAATTTAAGCACTTTTCATATACAACTAGAAAAATAATATTGGTTGACATTGAACAACTTTCATTATAATAACCAGACGCCCCCTTAAATATTACAGGGTGTTACAATTTATTCCAGTTGCATATAACAAGGTGTGCAATTTACCAAGGCTGCAAATTATGGGGTGTGTGCAGCTTACTAAGGACTCAGATTAAAGTGAGTGTAATTTCTTGAGATTTTAGTGTAGCTAAGAGAATTATTATTAAAAAGAAGCAAGTGGCAAATTTTGTTATAACATAAATACAGTACAGTAGTTAAAGATAATGAAAAGTAGAAGCAAATTTTTAGTAAAATACATATTAAGCAATAATATATTTCTTATATATTATTGCAGAAATAAATTAAGCAATAAATTAACATTTTAATACCATAAAATTAAATTATGTAATATTTAAATGAAGTTCACAATAACATGAAAGTTAAGAGTTCAAATCTACGAGTACAAGATGATTTAAGTGCGGTCCAAAATGTCAGAACCCACATGCTAACAAGGTGTAAAGCATACAGTACATACACAATGTTTCTTTTCGTCAAGGATAGGTAGCCTGTTAAACTTATTGAAGTCTCCCTAGGCTAACAACTTACCTTTACCAGGATGCAACAAACAATAGTCGACTAAAATGAACAAATCCACAAGGGCTGTGACAAGGATTCGAACCTACATCCGAGAGGATCCCAGACGCTGCCTTAATCGACCGAGCAACGACATGGTTAAATTGCAACCAGGAAATCATCCTGATTTACCAGGATCCGTTGGTAAATCAGGATGATTTCCCGGTTGCAATTCTTTTAACCATGTTATAGCTCAGTCAATTAAGGCAGCGTCTGGGAACCTCTCGGACGTAGGTTTGAATTCTCGTTACGGCCCTTGTGGATTTGTTCATTTGATGCATCACGCTATTGTGATTTCTGTGTGTAATAGTCAACTAGCTTCCCAGTAAAGTACCTATTTACTGCCAGGTAAACAAAGGCATCAGGTGTAAGGAAACATGCCTAAACATCTCATCTTACCCAAGAATAGAGCTCGGGGCCCAATCAGCTAGAAGCCAACAAACAAAAATCAGAAAAAATCGGTAAACATACAAATATTACGCAATGAAATCACAAAAACATAATTTAGCTACAGAAAAATATTGAGGCTGTATGATGGAACAGAACCGGCATCTCTGAACTCTCCAGACACAAGCACTACTGTACTGTACTGGTCATGGTTCAGTCGGTAATGCATGTGCCCGAGGAGTCCAGGTACAGAACGACGGTTGGATCCCATCATACGGCCTCAATAGTTTCTCAAACAAATCTTACTACAGAGAAGGTTACCTTCACCATATTTAGGAGACCACCTGATGTTATCATTGGTATCTATTTTATACAGTATAGCAATCCATAGCCACACAAATTCAAACAGAATTTGAAATAAAATTGACATATCCAAATCACCAGTCACAGACTTTTCTTAAGTGGAGAATTCTATTAGGGGTGCCACTTACATCTTAACTGGCTAATTGTTTAATAAGTATCTGAACCTGTTAGTGTTTGCTCCCTGAGGTTAACTGCTTATTTTCTATATAAAGAATAAAGATGGGCTTTGAGCTTGATAAATTTACTTGCATTTCAGGTCACCGATAAAATGTATCATTTAAACAGAACTTTGATCAGTATATTATTTAAATATTACCCAATTTCTGTAGAAAACCACATATAATGGGTACGAATTAAAAACTGAGGCAAGAAACAAGACAAAGAAAAATTGCTTTAAGGTACCAATTCTTTACAGCACACCTTATGGCGACATTCAAATAGAATTTCTTACAGTAATACATATTATTTAACTAAGAATAGGTAACGGGAAAATATAATTTGAACTGTGTCACAGTGGGAAGCAGCAAGTCCACTGCAGTCTTTATTTTATATACAATACTAGTACCATATTTTCTACAGGAATTTACTGTCGTTGAAAAGCTGGTCATATGGTACTCTTCAGCAAATTTGATCACAGAAAACATCCACAACTGGGAGAAAGTTATATATAGTATATATTTTACCACATTATTTAAGTGCCTTATGTCAATGCCTTCCATGCTCTATGTTGACAGGGATAGGAATCGAATAACATTTTCACATACAAAATACATTTCCCAACCTAATCACTAATAATAATACCAAATAATATAAAATCTTACATAATGTTCCAAATCTTATACTCCAATAAAAATATATTCGTTCGTTTGAAATAACAAGATTCAGAATGTTTGACAAAACGAAAGGAAAAAATGTAGTTGGTTAGTCACTAATATAACATGTCCACGACACTTTACATCTCTACTGTATCATACCTGTACTATATCACTTCGGCATCACATTGCCTCATTTATTTGTTCTACTTTTAAGTCGCATTCAACGTGGATCAAGTGAGTTCAACAAAAAGACAAAGGTGCAAAGTAATGTATACAGTACAAGCATCTGACATACAAGAATAAATGTGTGGAAATTTATGTCAATTTCTATAAAAATGTTTGCAAATGAACATTAAAGTCAAAAGACATCTATATCCTACCAACAGTGTACATACCTGCTATCTTAAGAATAATTGCCTATCTACGGAGGGGTTAAATTCGCTTGGTGCGTCACAAACTGGACTATTATTGTGCTTTAAACATGTATTATATTGAGAAACATCTCTTGTTCAGCAGGTTAAATGCAAACAGCAAGATACTTAGGAACTACATTTGGCATGTGTGTGCATGTAATATTAAATCACAAAAGATATACAGTAAAATAACACAAAAATCCCCAACATCATAACCAAATAGATAATGAAGAGAAGTGACATCATTATACTTAGAGTATATTACAGTGCAGTATACTAATACATGTATTGACATTATTTCACAAAACTAAATAAACAGATGTATAACAGTTCTATTTTTAACAATATGAACTCTCTACTTTTTAATGTTATCTAATGACTTCATACAATACTGTACTTTGTCTGCAAGATTGCATGTATATCTCTGAGACGACTGTAACTACGGTACTGACGTTTTGCAGAAACACTGACTCACGTTTGCCTCCCTCTAACATTACTTAATCTTCCCCAGCACCTATTAATACCTACTAACTTATCTTAATCCGAGGCCTCTGAATAAATCTTGCAGGGATTTTTATGTGTATCAATAAGGCTTCCACTACATCTTTCAAAATATACTATTCAATCCATTCTAAAATTCTCAGGTTGATTTAATATATTTAATAGGCATATAACGTTGCAACCCCCTAATCAGCAGACAGTTTACTGGTTACAGCACAGTATAAAGTACAGTAATTCAAAATATGAATATTATCTTAATTTGTACAAAATAGTCATAATAGCAAGCAATTTGAATAATTTTCTTGTAACAAATACATTCGACACATAACAAATTTTATGTGCACTGAACTTTCCAATATGACTTGAAAAATGAGGCATTATCCTGATAAAAAAAATGATTAAAAAATGTAGTGAAAGAACATTAAAGATATTGACAAATATAAATCATACATTCTTTGTCATTCATATTATACATCACAGGTAACAAGCACCAACACTATCAAGTAATTAGCCACACCACAGCCCTATCCACTCTGGCTCAATGCTCTAATTCATCCCAAAGTTGTTAACTTATCCCAAAACTTTATAAACAAACACATTTAGCTACAAATATATTGTCTTTAATGTGGCCTACGATTAATTGGTATCTTTTTAATATAAAAAGATGCTTCGTGAACCTCACTTTACAGTTTAGCAAGCAACTACTCGCTACACCTCAAGACATATCCTCAGGAATCTGTACAACAGTTGATTGATGGTCGAGAGGCGGGACCAAAGAGCCAGAGCAAACACAACTAGGTGAGTACAACATCTTTATCATATAAATATAATACAACACAGCTGATTTTTAACTTGTAAAATAAACAGTTTGGGTGATTTCATAATACATATAGAAGAAGGCCTAGAAGACCAACACAAGTACATTTTACAAAATCCCAAAAAACTATCAATAACACTATTGATTTCATCTAAAAAGATGAATATTGAACATGAAAGGGAACCAAAAAAGAAAAATTACATCAATACACATATTAATCTCCTCGAACGAAAACAAATACAAAATGAGGAACAATCACTGAATTTAGTGTTAAGATATTAATCAACCTTATATTTCATTCAACTTTCTATTAATCTTTTTATACTGAATGTTAATTTAGTCAATTAGGTATTTTAGTCCAAAATGTATTATAGTATCATGCAGCAGTAACTTTTGTGAATGTGTTGCCGCATACAATGCTTGTGTGAAATTAGTTAATCTTAGTAGAAGGGTAACTCGATTAATATTTGACCCTTATGCTGCTACAATTGTCATTCGTGATTTTTCCAATTTAATTTGCTAACTAGTTTCAGACACACACACCTCGATGTAGTAGTTTTAAACAACTGTGCTGTGTATAGGTTAAAGGATATTACAATACTGTACTAGACCAGATAACTAATTTATTTGCTGTTAATGGTGCAAAGATAAGAGACACAGCCCTACGCCTTTCTCACTGTGCTAACGTTTACCTAACTGGAAAGGGGTATTGTATAAAAAAAGAATATATCATGAGTGGGGTTATATAACTACAGTACTCTTGGATGTACATTAATAATGCTAATGGTTGAATCTATAGATTTACTGCTACTGTGTGATTGTGAGTTGATTGTTTACATGTATAAATATTGCACAAAATTGTGTACAGTACTGTAAAATATATTGGATATATAATTGCTATACTTTGTATGCTTGTTTATACTGTGCTGTACGGTATTTGATACTACACCAGCTAGTCTGCTCGCACATTGAATGACTTGAGCATCATACTGGATCCTAGTGAATATGTTTGTCTGCACAAATATGCTGGTCTGCATAGTTATGCAACATGCAGATATTGTCAAAGCAATTGCCAAAATAAGAAACATTATATCACATGTTACAATTTGCAACAGGAACTCGATACAGTTAAATGCTGTAAATGGAAGATAATATGCAGTACTAAATAACCTTATATGAATCTTTATATGAAGAAAATATAGAACATTATTTTCGTAATTACATTTATCACACTGACAAATATATATGTTCTACATATATATTCTTGGGATATACACAATATATATTCTATCTATACATAATAATAAAAATACATAATAATATAGATACCTGTAGTCATCTGGATATAAAAAGTGATTAGTGTTAACACGCGTAGTGACCGCGATGTTACGAAGAAATCACACGAATAAAGTAAATGGTAAGTACTGTACCATAAATATAAAAACCTGTGTTTTTTTGAACATGCACAAATCCCTGGAATGTGTTGTGTCTCTGAACCTGGCCTCAGAGTGTCGGATATAGGTGCATTATTGGAAATTTAGTCTTTTAGAATTACAAGCTAATACAGCTGTATACTTATTTCATTTGCAAACACATGGACATTATAAAATGTGTATAGTATATGTTAAAAAACTGAAATGGGTAAAAAAATACAAATTTAAAACACCAAAAGACAACTCGTACAATGGCACTGGTTTCCCCTATTAATACTGTACCTATATTTTCATTATCATCACCTCTGTTTCCCATGTTTGCATATATTTCCTCAATATTAATGCTATTAAAAGTATATTTCATATACTGTATACAGTAATCTATTACTAAGAACTCTAAATGTCCCGGCCAGGATTTGAACCCATGTTGATCACCCACGAACGAACACGATACTGTAACCACCTCACCATTGATCGTCTCAGTGGCGAGGTGATCACAGTGTCATGTACGTTTGCAGATGATCCTGGGCATCATGGTTTTCGAATCTTGATCTATGATCTATGGCTGTTGCATTTAATGCAGCCTTTGTCACAGTAAAACACAATTCTTCTTGTTGCTACCTCAATTAACACCACTGTTTCCCACTACCAAGACATTCTGAACCTCTGGAATATATATGGAGGCGGTTCTGGGAGCTTACTCTCCAAACCCAGTCTGGGGCCAGCTCGACTTGTTATAACTTACTCCACTAGGCTGTTGCTCGGAGAGGCCCGCAGACCCATACATCCGGCTCCTTAGTCTTTCAATTCTGAACAAAAACACACCTAACAAATAATACTTTACACAAGAAATTGCCCTAAAATGAGGAAAGTATATAGCCCATCATCAATGGCAACAATGTGATCAAAGTAACGTAATTTGCTGTACCTTTTAACTCTCTAAAACCTGAGGTTAACATTAAACAAAGTTAAATACATTTATCTAACAGCATACAGTACCTAGAAAAGCACCTTTGTGTGTGTGATATATATGTGATGTATGAGTATATGTATACATACACACAATGTACATACATATACATACACAAATACAGATATGCACCCAATTGTCCTTGTTGAATAAATATCTTAAAAGTATGCACAGCACTGTATGATGCATTTTTGTTTCATTATGTTACATGTACACAAAAATATAAAGTACATTTCACATCCATACAAGGTTATTACTAAGGTAAAAGCAATATGTAATCTATACACACACACACGCACTATCTAATGGTCCCCTAATATACATAAAGCTCTCGAGAGTATAGACACGCACAACCAAACACAGTCTAACTGATGTACTTGTATATGCAATCCTCAAGTTATGTTTAACTATATACTAGTCCTTCTTGCGTTCACTCATGAACACATTATAATATCAGCGTAACACACAGGGCATTTGTTATGTTTAATACTCTAGTCTTTTCAAATACACACACACTTATGAGTACGTCAAATCTGTGAAATGTATTTAAGTAATTTGTATCCAAAAGCAGCTGTATGTGAAACATGATAGTACAGTAAAATACATACACACTCAAATTTGATTGCAAAAAATTATATTACTGCATGTATTAAAATGATATGGGCACAAGAGTAATTAAATACACAATGAGACTAGCTCATTAGAGACTCATATCAATTATTTTGTTTAATAATATGTAAAATATCCACTTTAAAACTTATATTATAATTTTAATAACTATTTGCTGCAGTTCCTGATGTAATTTATATTTCCAAAACATTCACTATAAAAATTTAAATCTCAGCTTCAGCAAGTGATACAAAATCTACTGGACAGTTTGGCTTCAATTGGCTGAATATATATTATATATATATACATTGAACAATAATTTAATTTGCAAAATTTTGTGTAAATATTGGATAATGAAAAATAAAAAGCATTACTATAATAGTGTAATACCTTCCTGCCCTCTTTTCAAGCTCTGTCAGTTAGCTCAGATTACACTGCCTTACACAATATTATATAACCTGCAAACTGGCTTACACCATACCATATAGCTACAACACTGGCTTTTACCATTCGATATAACCTATAACACTGGCTGATACTATATACAGTACTATATAACCATACTATATACAGTACTGCAAGGTGTGAACCATTGCATAAGACCTCGGGGTTGTGGTGCTATAACAAGAAGCACAAAGTGCACACAACGATACAAAGTGAAAGACATCGTGATGGAAGTTTTATTTGCAGACATGTGTCGATGAGAACTTTGTGACATTCTAGCACTGAAATGTTGGCTACAAATAAAATATCTTCTCAGTGCAGTATCTTTCATCCAGGTTCATTGTGGTGTGTATACTTAGGCAACACTTAAATATTAGGGTAGATTATGGACAGATTTAAAACTTGGGCAAACTTGCTGATTCACACAATCATTATTAGTAAAATATAGGCTATTAAACTATCTTTCAAGGAAAACAAAGCACTTCCCGATAAGCAAGTTCAGAAGGGCATTGAAAGTGCTACGTCTAGTCATTAACTAGTTCCTTTATTCCTTCTCAAAATTATTAGTACTGCATTGCCTTTTAAATCAAATACCATAAGCTAATTGCCTAATAATTGTTGTGATTTCACAGATACATGTCTACAGAGAACGTATGCATTTAATCTGTAAGTAAATATATATATATAAATGCTCTCTGAGACAACTTGCAGATACTATACTCACAGCATTGCAATGACCAGCTGGTATTATTTCCCACCTGCAACTCTAACTTGACAAACTCATCAGTGCTTTTGGAGGCTCCGAAAGCTTAAGACACAAAACCCAACACCTCAACTCTTGTGCTTCTTAAATGATAGCTGTCTGCTTAACTGAGAAAATCATGATGGAGTGCCAGTCCAACTGCTCAAGGGACAGCACGGGAAGCAGATGAAACCTGTTGAAAGACACAGCTTTAATGAAAGAAGTGAAATGTTGGTTTCAGACGTAATCAGTTCTACTAAGAAGTGTCTTGATAATAGGCAAAACTTATAGCATGAATTGTCTTTATAGTTTAATACCAGTGTACAGAGAAGGATGACGGAGTGGGATTAGTAACCTTAATTTACAATATCTGGACAGGTAAAGTTAGATGATATAAGTTAAGTACATAAAAAGGATGACTGGGTAAAACAAAAAGGACATTAATAAAGTGTTAACAGCACACTGGATACAAACTGGATATTTTTACATGAAGAAAATACTGTACCTCCATAAATACTGCTTTTGAAATGGGATTGTTGATTAATGAGGCAAATTACCAGATATCTTAAAAGATGTGGGATCACTGGATTGTTTTAAGGTAAGTTAGATACTGTATTCTGTATATGTATACAGAAGCAAATTTGGTTGGGAACATAAATAGGCACTGTCTCACATAATAAATAGGCTTTCTCCAATAGGCTTTATTTGTATGTTTGAGTTTTTATGTTTAAGACAGTTTGCAATTGAATTTTAAAATATTGTATACCTAACCTAATGATACACAGTTTTAAAAATTAGAAAATAGGCTTTGTCAAAATGCCTGTGGACAACTTGAACATACAGTACTGTATCTCTTTTCAAGCCTATCTAACTTAACTAAAACCAAACTAGCCTAGTATAACCTCCTAATCTATTGCTAAATGCAGTTTTATTTATATATACAAGAGTTCTTACATTCTTGTACAGCCACTAGCATGCATAGCATTTCGGGCAAGTCCTTAATCCTAATTTTCCTTGGAATATGACCCCGCCAAATCGTTTAGCAACCAGGTATCCATTTCATTGTAAGGTAAATGTAGGCTACAGTTAAGGTTTGGCACTCAGTAAATCCTCCCCGGCCAGGATACAAACTCAGGCCAAAGCGCTCGTGAAGCGCCGGGTGAGTGTTTTACCACTGCACCACAGAGACTGCTTAATTATGTGACCTGTGACTTTGAATATATAAAAAGATGTATCTTTAATTTTTGGGAAAACAACATGTTATATACTGTAGTTAAATGCATTCTCACTTCGGTATAAGTTTCATTTGGGGATAGCTTTGGGAAAAAAAAAATCATAAACGTAGCATACCTTACATTCAACTAAATATCTTACCACTTGCTTATGGAAATTACCGTATTGGATAAATAAATATTATGTCATATTCAGCTTTACCTCTGAATATGACAGTTCCGTGTCATATTCAGGCAGCTCTGAGGCGGTAAGTGAGGAACTGAGTGAGGCAGTTCCGGGCGGTAAACCAAAGTCTCGTCCACATGGCTTTATTTACAAAACAATCAATGACGTCACACCGGATACATGAACCTATTATTTACAATACTTATAAAACAAAAGAGCATTTCATAACATTATGCACCCAAGTAGTATTCAGTCCTACAAAATACCTTAATCCTAAAGACAGATCAAATGCTATATTATCCCTGCAATATAGGCCTATTAAAGATCAGATGCCATCCTCTCCCTGCAATATAGGACTATTAAAGACAAGATGTCATCCTCTCTCTGCAATACAGACCTACCAGAATATCGTGAGCAATAACAGAAACCATTATCCCCCCCCCAATCATTACACGAGAAGCTCCATTGAACTATCTCTTATACTCAGCTTAACATGAGATGAAGAGAGCCATGCTTACCTCGTCACACTGCTGGCGGGAACGAAGAGAGTGCCACTGTGCCACGGCGTGCCTCTGTGACCCCATCATGTTACTCCAGTGGTTTATCTCGTGTGGACCTGGAATCCATTATCTGTTAACGCCTGTACTGCACAGATATTTAAAAATACACAGCATCCAAGAGGAATGTTAATTCATTGTTGTATCAACGTTATCAACAATAATTCAACGCTGAACCAACGTATCAACATTAATTTAATGTTGAATCAACGTTGATGACGTAGCTTGGGCATTGAATTGGCATTGCCTTACGGGCTATTCCATGCCCGTGCCACCTCTTGGGTGGCTTAATCTTCATCAATCAATCAATCAATCAATCAACATTGCTGTAGAATATTAAGCAGACTGAGATCAAGGGTGCACCCCTCTGAAAATAGCAAACTAATTGGAGAAAAATAAATGATGGTTGGAGCAGCATAGGGGTTAAGAACCTGACTGGTGTTTATCTACAGAATAACCCCTCCCCCCCCCCCCCACCTCTCTCTCTCTCTCTCTCGATAAACCTTACAATAACTAACCAAGACACGGTCGACACACCAAGATGGGGGGTCGATGGATTGTAGGCCAGAGTACACAAATAATAATTTATAATGATATCTTTGTGATACATTAAGCGATTATATATATATATATATATATATTTTTCAATTTTATTGATTACTAAGCTTTCAGGGCAAGTTTCATATGATGTTTCGAGAAATAATCTGCACATCCCACATGGCAACTAAACATCCCACATAACAACTGGATACCGCACATGCCAACTGGACCATTAGATGGCAACCGGACAGCCCACATGACAACGGACAGCTACATGTCAACTGAACAGTCCATATGACAGCTGAGCAGCCAACATGACAATCGGGTAGCCTACGTGCCAACTGGGCATTCCACATGACAACTGGGGATCCCACATGGCAAGTATGCATCCCACATGACAAGTAAGCATCCCACATGACAACTGGACAGCTCACATGGCAACCGGGCAGCCCACATGTCATCTGGAGATGCTATAAAGATACTGTGTCGAGGGACACGGGTTCGATGCCATGATATAGCGCCATATTTTCAGTTACCTGAGGGTTGCTTCCCAAGAACAATTCTGCCAATGAACTCGTCTCTCATGACTCCGCCATTCCAGTCCCAGACAGTGACCACTAGAGATGCTTCACGCAGCTCAGGTGATGCTATTTGGAAGCTGAATGATTCATTAAAGGAAGGAGAAAGCGTATTTTTCTTGACTCCAGTTTTCTTAGACTTGAGATGCCGACCGCGAACCACCAGTGACACACGGACATATGGATCTGTAAAAATAAAAAAGGCTTTATTAAAATATGAATGAAAAAGAGTATTACCAAATACAGAAATGTAAATCTACCTGAAAATGAGTTAATACTTTATAACTTATTTAATCATTCAACATATTTTGTCGTCTTATTCATGACATAAGTTAATCCAGTGAACTGCCTAAGATATATAAACTTAGCATACACTGGAAGCAACACCTCACAACTTCAAAGAGGCATCTTTTGCTATGTCCGAAGTTGCTTTACCCTCGTGCCATATCCACGATGGTCTCAACACCTGGCTAAGGAACTCTTTCGCATCCATGTGTTGTTGGATTCCTCATGACTACAACACCGCTCACATTCTTGTCTACTGAGCATTAACTCTCGTGGCCAATAACGGCCCCATACGTCTATGGCAGGTCATGTTTTGAAGTCAAAGATCACTGAAGTTTGAAGTTCAAAGTGATCATATACATACAGTATATATATATATATATATATATATATATATATATATATACTGTTATACAAAAATGGTTGGCCCTAAAATGGAACCTTGCAGTACTCCACTCACAATATTTTTTTTCCCGGCTAAGTTATCCTCCGTTTAAGACGACCCTTGGCTATATTTTCTGTGTTTTAACCGCTGTTTTATCTTTACCATTTGATACAGATGCGCCTTTCACACAGGCTGTGGCACACAGAAAACATCACTATAACTATTTTACAGTTTACAGCAAGAATATCTGTGCAGTAAAATGTTCATTAAAAATGTTTTATTAATAAGACAGTATCTACCACTGAAAAGTGGGGTTTCTTAAGTAATATTATTCTTAAATACATTTTTGGTAGCACATTTAGAAAACTACATACATTTAAAGCCACTATGAGACTCCATGGATCTAGAATATGGCCAAAAGTTTGACTAAAAATGAAAACGTCTTGGCGCGTGTACATATAAGAAAGCCTAGCCATGACTAACCTGCTCCTCGGGCGAGACTTGTCTGGAGAATTTGCTTGGCTTTGATGATGTCCACGTTGAGACGACCGGCAGTGGGAAGGTAGTTGAGAGACAGCAATATCTCACCAAACTCCTCTGTTTCCTGAGCAGTTTATTTTAATCTTATTATTATGTTATTAGGTATCTACATTATGGAGAATATATCATTAGTTCAATTTTTATGTAATTCATATTTTTTCTTATATAAATGTGCGTGCGTGTGTGTGTACTCACCTAATTGTGATTGCGGGGGTTGAGCTCTGGCTCTTTGGTCCCGCCTCTCAACTGTCAATCAACTGGTGTACAGGTTCATGAACTTACTTGGCTCTATCATATCTACACTTGAAACTCTGTATGGAGTCTGCCTGTGTGTGTATGTGTATGTGTGTGTGTGTGTGTGTGTGTGTGTGTGTGTGTGTGTGTGTGTGTGTGTGTGTGTGTGTGTGTGTGTGTGTGTGTGTGTGTGTAAAACACCGAATTTACACCACAGTTCCACTCTATGCATAAACAGTAATTTAATACAGTACTCCTTAGGCTACAAGATGAGCAAGCGATTTTATTTCAAAACAATGGGTACAATTTCAAGGTCATAATTATTTAAAATTAATAAACAAAAATTGCATTTTTAACTAGTTATACCAAAAGAACTTCCCTAAAACCCTCACCATCACAGAGATATTCCCGTAGTGTAGATATTATGTACGGCTTACATAACTGTATAGTTTATATCCTGAAATTCTCTCAATTTTCTGTAATTACAAAGCAATCGTAATTCCATAAGAATAAAAGATACTAGCCTACCCGCCCATACGAGGCAGCTCCTATGTATATCCACGTAAGCCTATATATATATATGTAACCTATAGTTTACAGTATACTGCTAGAGTGGTGTGGTACGTACCTGGGGGAGATTCACGAAAGCACTTACGCAAACACTTACGAACCTGTACATCTTTTGTCAATCTTTGACGGCTTTGTTTACAATTATTAAACAGTTAATGAGCTCCGAAGCACCAGGAGGCTGTTTATAACAATAACAACAGTTGAATGGGAAGTTTTCATGCTTGTAAACTGTTTAATAAATGTAACCAAAGCCGTCAAAGATTGAGGAAAGATGTACACATTCGTAAGTGCTTGCGTAAGTGCTTTCGTGAATCTGGACCCTGGTACAAATAGCCTAAGCTACTCAATCCCTTTGAGATGTATTTCTTTCTTGTCTCAATAAACATACTTGAACTTGGTGTGGTACGTACCTGGCTACACTGGGTGAGTGGTCTCCAGAGACGTGAGGGTCTAGCCAAGTTTACGTTCTGCAAGGGCAAGAGAACGTGCCCAACCACACAATGTCGCGAGAACTTGTCAAAATCCTTCACTTTCAGCTCCAGAGTACGGCGAATGACCTCCCTGTACGGCAGCTGATGAAACCATCAGCAATTAGAATTACATTTATAAAGAAAAGTCATTATATTAGTCAATTATTGTGGGTTGTATTCTGGGGATGGTTAATAGCTCACACGGTGGAATGGGGCCTAGATAGGCCTAGAAGGATCTCGAAAAGTCTATTCGGGGACTCAAGAGACCTCGATAAACCTATAGGGGAAACCCATAAGCATAGAAGGTCCTCTAGGGGCCTAAGGAAACCTCAATAAACCTAGGGAAACCTCAATATATTTAGGGAAACCTCAATAAACCTAAGTTCAGGCTTGCCTTTTCTCAACAAGAGGAATTATTACCGATAATGTCTAGGGCAAACTATTTTAAAATCTACACAACCAAATGGGGAATATTACCTCGAATGAGAATGTTTCCTCAAACACAGGCTCTTGTGTCTTCTTCTTCACCGTTGTCTGTCGAGAGTTTTTGTTGTCCGGGAGAAGGGAAATCTGGGAAAGTATTATACAAAATATAATGCATATATATTCTCTGCACAACACATTCATCCTATAATGGCAACAGGTTATGGTTACGACGTGACAATCAAATAACTGGTTTCCACAAAGAGTTCATTAATTGGGAACCTCGTTGTAAAGCGATTGGCAAATCATGCTCTAGGGGGTAATATTGTCTGCATGGCTGGTGAGCGGCGGGCAGGCAGGAGACACTTGCCTATTGTTGTTGTTGTTTTTAAGATTCAGCTACTGGGAACACAACGTTCAAAGTAGCACGGGCTATGGTGAGCCCGTAGTGGACTTACCTGGCACAGGAGCGGGGTTGTGCACTTGCCTATAATATCATGGCCGCCTCAACACGCCTCTGGTTCCAGCCCGTCCTTTCGAATTGATACTAAAAAGTTAAGTTTCCCCTAATCAGATGTAAAAAAAAAATGCAACTGTTTTCCTAACCAGAAACATAAAAATGCAACTATTTTGCCTAACAAGGAAAGTACGAGCCTAAGCAACCCACCTAACCTATCGAAGTCGATGTATATAGAAAACAGTCAACATTACGGCGCATTAATTCTTACTAATGCGCACCATTTCTAATGGATCGGTCGATCCCGTTAAAAATGCGACATAGTAGGACTGGTTGTACATTATGTATCCCAGTGATTGACTTGTGTGGCGAGCAAGATGTTCTGTAAGCTTGACAGCTCTTACAGACAAGCAGATGTGATCAAGGCTACAGAATCCTCCCCAAAATGATGTCTTATATAATGTTAACACACAGGCAGACTATTATGTAGCGACCCCCATCATGCCTGTAATCTTAAACCACTGAGTGACCACTGTTGTAAAGCACGGACATATTATAGTGCCACAATTAATCCAACACACAGCAATAATAGCTCTCAACCTGTAACTACACCACTTAGGTAATTACACATTTAGGAAATGCAATGAGAGTGAAGAAGTTTCAGGCTATCCTGGACCCTCATCAAGTCACTTAGGCTCCAGGACAGACCGAAACGGTGCCAGTAAGTCTACATGTAAACTGGCCTTTGTCCTAAACCGAGAGTATTCTCAAGTTCTAGTAGTTCTCAACCCATTCCCGGGAGTGCATTTCCTCCCCGAGCACAGGTTGACGTTGTCCGGCCCTCACCTTTATACAGAGGTTCAGCCCTCACCTTTATATAGAGGTTCAGTCCTCACCTTTACACAGGGGTTCAGCCCTCACCTTTACATAGGGGTTCAGCCCTCACCTTTACATAGGGGTTTGAGTGCGCCATGTCGCTGCGATCTTTACAAGCGGGCCGAGGAAGGTCAGCTGCTTCCAGGACCTGAAAGAAAGGACATTTGTACTGGAAATTGTGCTGAAAGTAGCAGATATATTTCAGTAGTTAAAGTAGAGAGTCGATTAAGGCGCGTCTGGGATCCTTTCGGAAGTAGGTTCGAAGCCTCATCAAGGCCCTTGTGGATTTGTTCATTAGAGAGACACAGAGAGAGCTTGTATAATTGTTGTTTACTTTGATCCATAAACAATATATTGTGAAGTTTGCTCATCATTACTGTATTCTACAGTTCTTTATCTTGGAGTTAAAAGGTAAAGAAAAAATAGAGAATAATATTTTAATATAGTAATTAAAGTTTATTCACGACAAAAGATTAATGCAAATTCCTGTTAATAAATTACTTTTTGCCTACGCTGTAATAGTTTGGTTTAGTTCATTTATTATGCACCCCATACTCATCCTGAGGGCGGTAGTGGAAAGGATTACAGAGGCACATAATGGGCTCAGCTATATTACTATACGGCTGTGCCCATATTGCTTAGCTATATTGCACAAACTGTTCTATATCCCTGCAAATCAAATATATTTCATGCTGCTGTTTTGAAAAAAAAAAACAGAACAACACAATCAGTGTAATATTTGTATGATATCCGTAGCACAAGAGGGTGCAGGTGGGAGCTGGAAACTTAAATGAATTGAAGAAATGTAAAGAAATACTGTACCGTGTACAGGTGGTCAACAAGTGACATGCAAAGAGAGAGATGAAGTGTTTTTATTATTATTATTATTATTTTTCTACCACAGACGTGGCCAGACATTTACAATGCTATCTTATCTTGAGGTTATCTTGAGATGATTTCGGGGCTTTTTAGTGTCCCCGCGGCCCAGTCCTCGACCAGGCCTCCAACCCCAGGAAGCAGCCCGTGACAGCTGACTAACACCCAGGTACCTATTTTACTGCTAGGTAACAGAGGCATAGGGTGAAAGAAACTCTGCCCATTGTTTCTCGCCGGCGCCTGGGATCGAACCCAGGACCACAGGATCACAAGTCCAGCGTGCTGTCCGCTCGGCCGACCGGCATATATATATATGCTAACCAGCATATATACATTTTCTTCTGTCCTCCATGGACAGGGTGAGAGATGTGTTAAACATATAGTTCAAGGGTTTATTGAACAATCAACCACAGAAGGTGATTCGGTGCTTTTAAAATGCTAAGCTAACCTACATACGCAAATACATAGATACACAGATTTACGGAAGATATATGGAAGCTGATCAGATGAAGTTGTGGAAGCCACCTCCGTCCACAACTTTAAGATCAGATTCGACAAAAAAACTGGAAGGTCAGAATAGTTCAATTATAACACAACAGGTACAACAAGGCCGGTAGGCTGGGAACCAAGTTCTGGACCTCACTTCACTGTAGTAGCTCAACCTGTCCTCCTAATAGAACGTCGCATGTTGACGTATAATATACCGTTATACGACATTTTTAGATATAATTTTCAAGTACGACAATAAAAAATGGTCGTACTAGAAAATGGTAGCGAAATTAACATACTTTCCCGTTTTCTGTTTTAGGTCCTCTGGTAGATTAGGATAAGGACACTATAGTACGACAGTGTCTTGACGTTGGGAAATCTTAGGAGACTGAGTTACTGATATGTAAGTACCAACAGGATGTCCATTATTGTACCTTAACCAGGAGAACAGAGGCAGAGGCGTCGTAGTGCAGCGAGAAGTGGATCCTTCCGAACAGGTCCTCGTCAGGGCCTTCTTCAAGTGATGACGACGTTGACGTATACAAATTGGGCCGGATCTAACAAAATAATAATAATGCTTGATAGAAGCAGTTAAAGTCAAGCAGTGCTTCCGGTCGAGAGTCAGGCCACCGTAGCCCAGTTAGTAGTCTATACCCACAATGAAGTCACATTAATTATTGAGAGAAATCCTGCTTTTTATTGCATATTTCGACGTTTCAGCCGGATTAGAGCTGTTTTCTTGATGTATCAATGAGAAAATCAGTAGTAGCCATGAGGAGTATTCGAACCTGCACACTTAGTACGCTCAGGTACTATATATGGCGTGTCCTTGGGAGTACCAAGTGTGTGGGTTCGAATTCTCCTCATGGCTGCTACTGATTTTCTCAGTAGTGCGTATGCTTGAGGAGTTCAGGGATGCGGGTTCGATCCCATTCTATGGTTTCAATATTTCCTCAATACTTATTTACACACAACATTGTCTAACAAATAGTTCTGAGACAAGGCAGGTCTTCCATGATGTACAGAATTTGGTGTAGTGAAAGTGTGAGATTTTAAAAGTTTACACAAACACAGACAGTTTACTGATTGTTGACCAATCCACACACTAGAAAGTGAAGGGACGACGACGTTTCGGTCCATCCTGCACCATTCTCAAGTCGATTGTGAATGGTCCAGGACGGACCGAAACGTCGTCGTCGTCCCTTCACCTTCTAGTGTGTGGTCTGGTCAACATATTTCAGCCACGTTATTGTGACTCAGTTTACTGATTGTTATTGATATTACACATTGAAAACCTTCCGACCTCTGATGGTTTATTTGTTGATGCTGTTTGGTGCCAATCTGTACATTTGGGCGTAACAGATTTCAGAAGGCAGAAGGGAAAGTGTGCACTCAACCGACCAGCATTTGCAATGTACCGTAAGAAATAAATTAACTATCAAGAAAATTAAAAAGTACTTCCATGCCGATATTCTAAATATCAACGATTTTTTTTTAATTTTATTGTATAGGATAATATTTATTGAAATATTAAAAATTTGTTAAATTAAACAAATGCTGTAAAATTCTAAGCCATAACAAATTCCAAGCTTATTTTATCAATATATCCCCTGGGGAATATCTAGGTAAAACGACAATGAGTTAAAATTAATAACGTTGATTCTATTTATAATAATTTTGGCCCGCCGGTATGGCGAGATAAAAACCACTAACTCCTTCCTTAAACAAACTCAGGTTTGCTACCTTGGTAAGAGTTTCATAGTCAGTTGACTTGGAAGCCCAGCGAGGTGACCTGGAGACCCCGGGAGAGCGAGGCGGGCCCGGGAGGCGAGGCTGCACCCCCTCGCCCCTCACCCCTGACCAGAACTCTATGGGGCGCACGTCAATTACAGGCAGCTGCCGCGAAGACACCGAATTGGAACGCCGCAGCTCAATCTTAAATCAAAGATTATTGTTCTGTAAAAAACATACAGATACACAACACGGAAATTAGTTAGGCAAAACATTTTCATACACGTATCTAGATTATGTTCATTCTATATTAAATAGATACATGGAATTGTTTAATAAATGTTCCAAGTATGTTGACCAGACCACACATTAGAAGGTGAAGGGACCACGACGTTTCGGTCCGTCCTGAACCATTCTCAAGTCGATTGAGAATGGTTCGATTGATTCCAACTATGACTACCATAACAAAGGAGTATAGGAAGTAAGGTAAGGTAATTATCAGAAAGCACTATAAGCCATTATGACTATATACCACTTGGAAGGGATATGAGGATAAGGATTTGGGATGGGACGGGGGAAAGGAATGGTGCCCAGCCACTTGGACGGTCAGGGATCGAACGTCGACCTGCAAGAAGCGAGACCGTTGCTCTACCATCTAGTCCAGGTGATAGGAAGGACGAGAGGAGGCTGCTGGCCCCTTCACCTGATGCTTATTGATTATAATAATTTGAGGTAAAAAAAAATTCATATTAGGAAATGGCCGCGTTGATGGGAAATTTTCATTGAAAATGAGGTCATTGTACCCTTGGCATTTTCATTTTAGTAAAATTCGAAATTTTTCAATATAGATAATGGATGTAAATATTGAAGAGCCTCAACTGTGCTAATTATACAATATCTTTCCAGTAATATACAATAATTACTTTTTTTACTCATTACAGAAAGTGGTCTTTCATATTAACAGTTTCCAAGTGATCCACATCAACCACGATACAAGGCCAGGAGTCATCAAATATTTGCGTGTCCACTTACGAAACCGGTACATCTTTCTTCAATCATGGAGGCTAAGTCTGTATTTACTAAGCAGTTTACGAGCTGGGGAAACTTCACAACCCAAGATTATTATTGTTACAGACAACCTTGTAGCACTTCAAAACTCATCAATTGTTTAGTATATTCAGATCAAGCCGCTAGGACAATAGTTCCTCAGAGAGAGGAAATATGTATAGGTTTCTTAAGTGGACACTTACGTGTTTGATGAGTCCATTGTATGCTTGTCCAGCTGATGTATAAGTACCAGATAAGTTTACTTCAAGAAATATTCAGTTCTTTTCATTCCGCTCCTAGAGTTTTACTCAAGACTTTGCAACACTGTCTTAAAACAAGATGCTCTGCAATAAATTCCTTTTGTCAGGGACAGGAAGCCTGTGCTTAGGCTTATTAAGGTCCCCCTAAGCCAACTACTGATCTTTCCCAGGATGCAACCCACAACAGTTGACTAACTCCCGGATAACTATTTAACTACTAGGTGAACAGAGGCATCAGACAATAGAAAATTTGGCAGCGTTCATGTCATGGAATGCATTTCTTAACAATACAGTCTCGAAACACGAATACGTGCATATACTAGATGAAAGTATATTGAAGTGTTTGTACCACAATCATATCTATAGTAACAAATGGAATCCTCAGCACTTGATGTACCTATGATAAAATACTGATGCTGTAGAATAGGCTATGAACCACGACCTCGGGCTCCCCAGGCCTAAATATTTTTTATATATCTTTTTTCTTTATTAATATACAATATAAATATTTTTGTCACATTTACATCAATTTACAGGGGAAAATACTACATTTATATATAGTTTATATAATTCTCACTAAACCAATATATGTGGTTATATCACGGAAACTAAACGGAATTACAAACTAAGAACGCCTCCTCAACACATCTTTAAAATTAGAACCATTAGCATCCCAGCAACAAATAATAACAATCTTCTAAGCACACAGAAGATATTGGGAATGACAATAACTCACCTGGTGGTAAATATCAGACTTGAGGTCCTTGACCGAGGAGACTGATGAAGATGGAGAGGAGGAATTGGACTGGTGCCGCAGTAAGGACACGGTGGTCACGGACTCGCTGTCACTGTCGCCGTGCTGATGAAGGGACAGCACGAGTGAGGTGGTGTCGCTAGACGGCTCCTCCGGCTTCTTTGTAAAGGAAGAAACATAAATATGAAAGAGAGAGAGAGAGAGAGAGAGAGAGAGAGAGAGAGAGAGAGAGAGAGAGAGAGAGAGAGAGAGAGAGAGAGAGAGAGAGAGAGAGAGAGAGAGAGAGAGAGAGAGAGAGAGAGAGAGAGAGAGAGAGAGAGAGAGAGACAGACAGACAGAGAGAGCCAACGAAAGAGACAGAGACAAAGAGAGATAGAAAACGATTAGAAACAAAATATAGATAGAAAACAGGGATCGCAAAGAACAAGATATTCAAATATGAAAACAAAAGACTTGAATTTAACAGAAAATACATAGATTAATAAAATTGTGAAAAGATGGAGGGAAGGTATGGATAGTACCGTGATATAGAATGTTTAATGTCAAGACATTCCATAATTAAATACAGATTTTGTTATACAAAAAAAATATATTATTACCGTACATATAAACTCAAATAATATAAAATTACGGGCTATTCATGCCCGTGCCATCTCTTGGGTGGCTTAACCGTCATCAATCTATCAAAGTGTGAACGGTGAACATTTCAGAAGATGTATTTCGAGTAAAGTGCAGGGCGAGAATGTGTCTCACCTGCAGGATATATTGTATGTCAGCCTTGCGGGTGTGTGAGGGCTCCTCCTCGGCGCAGCAGCAGCAGCAGCAACAGCAGCAGCAGCTGTGGCCCTCACGCCAACACAGCACTGCTCGTAGCCTCTCCCATAACCATCCCACCTTCTGAAAACATCACTTAATCACTTACCATGTAATTTAAACTACGGTTCCCTGGACATTTGCTTATTTAGATTACGATTCCTTCCACGCCCCAGTCATATAAATTGGTAACTACAATTAACGTGGATAATAACATTTCATTTAATTGGGCCATAGGAGCCTTGAATCACTTCCAATTCCAACTAGACTTCTAAACGCGGAAGTCTGTAGTTCTGTCAACCAAGCTACTGAACACCCACGTGTGGATTCCATCTCATGTTGGACTAGTTAGTGCTCAACGAGGTGCTGATGAGCGGGCCAAATGTGCCTCACCAAGACCAGAGTTGATATTGTATATATTTTAGCCATGAAACAAATACAAATATAAATTAAAAACATACAGGCACAGGCGGAAGTGGTGAGAAAGAGATATGTGAGAGAAGTCAAAACATGAAACACTATGTATCTGAGTCAAAACACCGATTTCACTTACGCAAAATGGAAATATGGCGGTGTGTCCACTCCCAGGATGAGTGGCGCTGCCCGATAAACTCGCCCCTCGGGGCAAAATTAAACTAAAATTATGTTTGAAGTGACTCTGTACATATGAGGCTCAAGCTTGGGTACATGTATTATTGTGAATATGGAACAGGTGCTAATGGAAAATAAATAAAGTGTAAATTATTGGGTGTTAGTCTCGCACCCTCATCCATTATGTTCTTGATTGTCCGCTGATTTACTGAGATAAGAACTGGTCCTGAACAAATAGCCCGGATGTGTCACAATGGAAAAGGGAATTATCAAGACAAAGGCCAAGCCATTACGACTATATAACACTGGGAAGGGGGTCAGGATAAGGATTGGGGATGGGACGGGGGGATAGGAATGGTGCCCAACCACTTGGACGGTCGGGGATTGAACGCCGACCTGCATGAAGCGAGACCGTAGATTGATGACATTTTGGAGAGATAAGAATTTTGCACCAAGATTGTAAACGTTTGTTGTTGTGTCTGAGTGTTTATTTGTAGTCTCTCCATTACAGTTTATGTCTATGGATTTGTACTTAATAAGAGAATTTGTATGCATTTGTGTAAACGTTCAGTATAACGCTACCTGTGTACAAGAAGAAATATATGTCTATCACCCAAAATGTTCAGTAATATGTCGAGTGTTTGAGATATGTATAAATATATATGAACACGTACTGAACTGTATGAGAATAATTTGAGGTACCTCATCCCTTTGTGCGTATTTATATATAAATAAATTTAATTTAAACTTAAATTTCATCTCTGATACCTATTTAATACTAGGTGAACAGAATCATTAGGTGAAACGTGCCCAACCATTTCTGTCCCGCCCGGGAATTGAACCCAGGATCCCTGGTTGCAAGTCGAAAATTAAGCCAAGTGTTCCAACGGTGCTATGATGACCTTTCTGAGTTGCAGTTTTCCTTTGCTTATACATTCCTTAAGCCGCCAGGAGAGTTTTGGTTCGTGTCAGTTAAAAAATATAAGAATACTAAGTATCTATAAACTGGAAAGTTTAGTTTGATTTTTATATGTCATGGTAAACAAAAAAGTCACTTCTAATCTGTACGTTAGTTACAGGACTCTTGTTTTACTCTCAGCCACTAGAATAGGCTTGTCTGTGTTACGTACCCTTATAAGATACGTAAGTGAATATATTAATATGTACATTTATAATTGTATGTAAATTACAAGCATGTATATTGTTATACTTATATGTTCTATGCAAATGCACATTCATGTTACAGTGTTGGCGTTAGGCCCAGCGTATCGTGGGAATGATTGTTTATTTCTTTGTGTGATCAGTTTTCCCACGGGAACTAATGATTTATATGTGATCATAAGTGGGTAACAGAATGAAATAATAATTGAGTGAACTGTATCTGGCAAATTGTCGTGGGATCGTCCGTTGCTGGGGTGTGCATGCCATTATGCTATTCTGTATGCATATTTTAATTACTATGTAAAGAAACACGTACTTTTGTTGTCTATATCAATATGTACTAATTATTCATTAAGTTAGTTTAAGATTACTCTTGTCACAATGTAGTGCTCCATTGTTGAAATAATAAATATTGTAACTTTGGCAATTTATTCGCGGGGCGAGGCAATCTCTTTTGATTCTCGCGTGATTTTGTTTAGTAGCTGAGCAGAAACCGGGGAGATAACACTTGTTGGAGTTAAGTCATTCTTTTATTCTAGCCATATAATTATTCTTAGTATTGATTTAATGTCTGGAAGTTACAGTGATATTTTTAATGTGATATATTGTGACCATATAATCATCTGTTTGCCTTTGAGATTTATTTAATATAAATTATATATATATACTTAGTATCTTTATTCTTCAGTCCTATGAAGATTCTATTTTATGCTCATTACCCATTAAGGGGTTATACTGGTGATTCGCTATTGAGAACAGCAGTTGTGTCGTATCCCTAGACTTATTAAAGTTTGGCTGCTGTAGGATCACGAGCCGTAACGTACGATAGGTAACAAAGAGTTATGGGGGCCTGTGCCGGGAAATATTGTCCCACTTAACTTAACTATGCTAATCTAACCTTGCCTTCCTAGGTACCAGTGTCAAGTGTCTCTGTGTGTTTCTTAAGAACTATTCCATGTGCCAAGCAAGCCTTCCTGTGTGTCAAGTAACAACGTTTCACGATTTTGAGGTAAGTCATCCTATATATTTTGTTTGTGCAGTGAGGCCAAGCGAATTTTCAGTGTGGTGACAATTTTACAGTGAAGTGTAGTGCAGTGCCATTGTGTTAATTATTGTTGTGAATTAAGTGCCAAGTGTTAGTAACGATGGAGGAGAAAGTTGCAGCGTTGGTGGCTCACCCAGACTTTGAAGGGATTCAGAACCTTAAAAAGACTGAGTTAATACAAATGGCAAATCATTTGGATTTGACCGCCAGCAATAGAATGGTTAAAGCCCAAATATTGAAAGTCATTGTGACGCATTTTGTTGAGAATGGGGATTTAGGTGAAGAAATTCTAGAGGAGTTAAGAGAGGAGTCGAGTGATCAGATGACGTTAAAGCGTCTTGAGTTAGAAGCTCGCCAATTAGAGCTTGAAGCTCAAAAAGAACAGAAAATATTAGAGGCTGAAGCTCGTCAAAGAGAGATTGAAGCTCAACAGCAACAGCAAATATTAGAGGCTGAAGCTCGTCAAAGAGAGATTGAAGCTCAACAGCAACAGCAAATATTAGAGGCTGAAGCTCAGCAAAGGGAGCTAGAGACTAGGCGTTTAGAAATTGCGGCACAAAACCAGAGGTTTAATTGAGTTGCAACTTGAAGCCACAAAGAAGCAACAATTAGAGATTCAACAACAAATGGCTGACACTAACTTCAAGCTTGAATCACAGCGTATGGCAGCTGGGCATGGAAATACTAGTAATGTTTCAACAAATAGTGATAATAATCCCATCAGGATGAATAAGTATATAGAGTTGCCCAAGTTCAATGAGGAAGATCCTGAGGTTTTCTTTGCACATTTTAATAAAATTGCCATCAGTATGAACTGGCCAAGGGATCAGTGGGTAGCCATTATGCAGTCTCAATTCAAGGGGCGTAGTCAGGAGGTTTTCACATCCCTCCCTGACGCTCATAGTTTTGATTATGACTTTGTAAAGAAAAGCATCCTCAATGCATACCAACTAAATCCAGAGGCACACAGGCAAAAGTTCAGGAACCTAAGGAGAATCAAGGATCAGACAATAGCCGATTTTACTCGTCAGAAGACGAATTTTTGCAACAGATGGTTAAAGTCACTTGCAGTCACTGATTTTGATGCTCTAAAGAATCTTCTCATAATGGAAGAAGTATTGTCCTGTCTTCCAGACCAGTTGTCTACTTTTATGGCAGAACAAAAGAATGTAACCGATATTGATGAGCTGTCAAAGCTCGCGGATGAGCATGAGTTGCTGACTAAGGCCCCGTTTATGGCCACTTCACCTAAGTCTAGTCGTAGAGTAAATTTCAATGCTCACCGTACTCCTTATCAGTATAAGTCTCCTCCTGGTGCGACAGTTACTCCCGTGAACTCTTCTCTTACTAACCCTAAGATGGTTACTCCATTGCCAGGATCATCTAAGCCTAGTAATGCTAATTCTAAACCGGCAGTTGGTTATACCAGTGTGTCCACTGTCAAACATTGTACCCATTGTAAGAGAAGGGGGCATGTGATTTCTTCATGTTTTAGTTTGCATCCTGAACTCCGACCAACTGGTCTTATTATGAGTAAAGGAGTGCAACCTATTAATTCTTCATGTATTACAGTCAGTCCCAATTGGATGGCTGAATTCAAACCCTATATGTCCACAGGTACCTTATTATGTACTAATGGTAGACATAAGACTGTTCAATTACTCCGTGATACTGGAGCTTCACAGTCTCTTATTACCCAGAAGGTACTTGATGATGTTGACACCCGAGATCTGGGTGAAGTTGTGCTTCTCCAGGGTATTGCCGGAAGTGTGCAACCAGTGTCCTTATTGCAAGTTAACCTTGATTCTAAATATACTTCAGGATGGTGTAATGTTGGTGTAAGTAAACAACTGCCCATTCCTGGGGTAGACATTATTCTAGGTAATGATTTTGGCAACCAAATGGTTGTAGGGCCAAAGTGTCCCATCATGTTAACTAAACCCCATAATGTATTAGCTCAACCGGAAGCAGATGATGATATTATTTACCCTGCTTGTGTTGTTACTAGATCAATGGGAAAAACAGGTGAGAGTAATCCTGTCTTCACTGAGGTTGCTGTTCCCAAGACCAGGACCCCTTCAGTAAAGGAGTGGGAGGTGGATCTTGAGGATTCTTTTATGACTCGACTGGATGATGAGAGTGAGGCCGTAGTAGAAGCCCCGCCGAACCTAAATCACAAGGAAAGTGAAGGTGAGGAGGCTGAACTATCTGTACCTTGCCCGCTTGTCTCCAGTGCGCCAGTTGTCGAGAGTGAGGCCGAAGTAGCTATGACTCCATTTTATTCCGA